ATTCAGTTTATTCTGAAAAATAAATAAGCACTGCTTGTTCTAGCTTGGGGGAATGAAATAACTGCGAAGCGCGGTAATGATTTCCCTGTTAAGTAATTGTGCTATATGTTAGTCATATGCATTGTGAAATTATGAACAATGAATTCGTTTATCAAATGATAAAATGTTTGTTATAATTATGTTTCAGTTTGTATAAACTAGGACTATGGAAAATGCTTTGTTTCTATGTTATATACGAATAAGAAGTGGAGTTCTGATAAATAAATTCCATTAATAAAGACAAAAAATCCTAACAATATAATTGGAAAATGTCTGGTTTCTTCGTATTTCATATATTATATAATTTATAGGAAGATGAGAGTTGATTTTTTTTTCTTTCATTGAGACGTTTGATGAGATGATACTTCGTCTTTTCGCAAAACTCGATTAAGAGAAGAAAAAAATCCTGATCTTTGTCACTCAATAAATACAGGAAAACTATCTTCTGCAGATAAATCCACTCCGCATATTTCTTAAAGATCTGTGAGTGAGAATACTGTGTGTGGGTGTCAAGTCGACGTCATTATAATAATAATAATAATTTGATTTATATAGCGCCTTTTCCAAAGGATACAAGGCGCTGTCTCTTAGACTATCAACAATTTAAGTGGAGTTGTACAAGTAAGTTTTCAGTTGTTTTTTTGAAGAAATCTAGTATATACTGTTTCTTAAGAACTAGTGGAGTTTGTTCCAGAGACGTGGGGCTATAAGGATGGTTTGTTCCGTGTTTTCACTGGTTGGACGTGTCATGGACTCAATGTTCACATTACATTATCTTAATCACATACTCATGATTTTTTAAAACATTGTTCGCTATGACAAAAATCACCCCTTTCATAAATTTTGTCAACAAATTTATAATTTAAAGACCGTTGACGGCCAATCTTGAACTGTTATACTTTTTGTTTGTACTTGTTTATTTTTTTCAATTTGCTTGTTTGAAAGCTTGTAACCTTCATCAGCAAATTTGAAAATCTACCAATCAATTTTACACTTGTCGGCAAATTAGGGCCGACATATCGTAATTTATTCCTAAATTGTTATGAGTAGAATCCTTGTATGGTGTATGACGTTTAAAAGCTTATTTTAGTTTTCATTTGAAGATCTGTCTTTGGCTCTGCCCTTTCTTTCACTGCCTATTTGAAATTATACTTTCGGATGTATCAAGTGTCCAACAACAAGAACAGCGGCAAGAACAACAACAATAACAAAAACAAAAACTAACAATTAAAAGCTTAAAACTAAAAGGATAACATGGAAGGAGATGTACATGTAGGTTGGTCTAGACACTATGAATATGACTGACAAAGAAAGCGGACAAAATAAACAGTTCCTCAGGTAGACAAAGGAACATCCCTTCACTGCTTTTATTTAAAAACGTGTAGAACAGGTGTCACATGCATATTCACCTTTTTACATAATAGCAGTGAAGGGAAGTTCCTTTGTCTATCTGAGGAACTGTATATTTTGTCCGCTTTCCTTGTCTGTCATGGTCATAATAATGCTACGTTTACACTATGTTCCCGGCGGCCACGGCAGCCCCGTTTGACCGAAACGTAGTGCGCCGTGGTATTTTGGCCATTTTCTTTTCTGTATTCAAGTTTAGTTACGTCTTGCCAAGTTTCCTCACGGTCTATCACGGTTTCCGTGACGGGCCGTGAAAGGGAAAGGGGCTGCTGTCCCGGAGGCTGCAAGGCGCACTACGGTTCGGCCCGCGGTCTAACACGGACGCCAGTACGTACGTTCCCTCCCGGTCCGTCACGTTCTGTTGGGGTCCCTCACGTTTCTCACGTTCTGATCAAGGTCTGACACGTTTTTCACGTTCTGTCAAGGCTTTGTACGGATGAAACGTGGAGGCAGGGCAGCTTTGGAGCACGTTTGTGCCGGCGGTATAAAAAGAAGGTCTCCCAAGCAATAGCAATCATGGTATCCTGAGACCTCGTGTTGTGTCAGACCGTAGTAGAACGCAACGCGCCGTAACGTGCCGGGCGCTTAAACCGTCCCACTACGGACCACCTCAAAGTTTTGTTACGGCCTGTTACGTTCTGTCACGTTTTGTTGCGCTCACCCCGTTTACCTACGGCCTACTAGGTTTCTCATTCCTAAATATGGCCCGGCATCCACGGCAATCACGGCTTGTCACGTTTGCCCATACGGTCCCCCACGTTGTCTCACGTTCATCCCGTTTCGTCCACGGTGGCCTGAAACGTGGTTGCCGTGGCCGCCGGGAACATAGTGTAAACGTAGCATAAGACTAGCGTCACGTTCACTTGGTCAGCTCTCTATATATGCCTACAAACTGGCTCAGACGGCTCCGGCTCGAAACTGAGTCGCGTCGAGTAGTTAGGATGGTGACGATAAAGGTCGCAGTCGCGGTCCCAGACGTCAATAATCATATCTGATTGATACTTCTTTTTTTTTTTTTTTTTTTTTTTAAATTCAAATTCAAACTTTTATTGATTTCAATCCAAATGTATAGGGTCATTAGGATCATTCTCAATTTGTGTATGCGTTGGATAACAAATTTCAAAGTTATAGTGCAGCATAGATAAATGAGTGTAACAATAACCAGGATTCCATCAGGAATGTCACTGCATGTCACACCTGAAATATAATACAGGGATGAAAATAAATTATATTATTCGTAATACTTTATACAATCTTTTCCCCTTTTCTTTTCAAATTAAAAAGGGACAAAATACACATGATAGTAAGACAATATACATGTATTATGATTACCAACCCCTCCTCACGAGATGATCCCCACAACTCGACCCTATTCCAAATCCAGTGAGGAGTATTAATTTTTTTTTCAAAAAATTGTCACAAAAGGTTGTCTGAAAGCGACAGAAACTGTTGGAATTCAACCCTTGATCAAACTATAAATCGAACTAGTGGACGGGAATGTCTCTGTGAGGAAAACAGGTGGTGATTAGCAGAAATACTTTGATAACTAGTTTCCGACAATTATAGTAAGGGAAATTTTCACCAACTAAGTAGCCTACTTTATGTTGGTTGTTATAGATTCAATCACTGGCGTACGCAGGATTTTTTCAAGGGGGGGGGGGGGGGGGGGTAAAATCGGGCCAAAAAATTTCTTAACGACTCAGCCAGCCGCTGAATAAGCGGGGGGGGGGGGGGGGGGGGGGGGGTAAGAGGACACTTTTTTTTGGTCTCGAAATTTGAAAAATTGACATTTTCTTCCGTTGGGGGGGGGGGTTAAGGTCACCTTAATTAGGTCAGCCGTTTTTTTTTTTTTTTTTTTAAATAAATTTTTAAAAAAACTCAAAAGGGGGGGGGGTTTCCCAAAAAATATACACAAAACATACACATAAAGGGGGTTTAACCCCCCCCCCCCCCCCCCCCCCCTGCGTACGCGCCTGGATTCAATACATCACTTATCTATATAAACACTGCTGAAACCACATTTACTTTCGATTAAAGATGAAGACAGTATCTCGACAAAAATATTTTCTATTCCATGCAGTCTGAGAAAGGTATATGGAGTATAATTATGTCACATTTGCCGCGGCGGTCGTGCGGTCTAAAATATTAACGGCCAAAAGCAATTTTAGAACCGCCGCAGCTAGCATTCACACGGTCACATTATGATAGCGGTCACTTATGTTAGGGTAGCCGCAATGCGTATTTTGAATTTGTGGAGACAGAACATCTGCGGCTGCCGTACGGACTTTAAAGTGATGACGCACGGTCGCCTTAGGGCGTCCCTGCGGCGGCCGTAGCTTCTTGACAAATACGAAGGCAGACGCAAGGTAGCCGCAAAGTGCCCGCAAGGTGATCGGAGGGAGACCACACGGCGACCGCGCGGCCTGACTGATGCTACCGCTTCACCTCTGGAGTATAACACGCAAGGCCACCGTACGCCCGAGCGAGGTACGATCGCCAGTGGAACCGCTCTACGGTATGGCTACGGCGTCTAATCGCGTACGGCGAACCTAGAAATGAAAAACAGTTATAACTCAGCGTTATAATCCCACGGTGACCCATACGTCCTGTAAAGATAAGGATACGCCCCATAGCATAGGCGCCGAAAAAACTAGGGGCCAAAAATCATTTTCGCCCCCCCCCCCCCCCCGCAAAAAAAAAAAAAAAAAATATTAGAACATGTATTGAATCACATAAAGAATTATGTTCCATTCAAAGAAAAGGAAAGTTAATAGGAATTAAATTTCCTAAACATTCCGCATTCCCCTATATTTATCAATGGAGGTTTTAATTATATAGCGATACGCGCATATCGTGGAAATATTGTGAGATAATGGGAAAGCGTGTGTGTTTTTTATTATAGGGGTGAGAAGATATGAGCCCCTGAACACTGGCGTACTCATGGTGGGGGGGGGGGGGGTAGTTTTCCCCTAAATAAAATTCAAACGTGATACCAGGGATTTACAAATGTTGCCGAAATGTTGATTTTCCGGGATTTTTTCTCAATTTCTTTTGTAAAATATTAGTTTGTTGCAAATTCACAAATTAACAGTCAGGCAAAAAAAACATGCTTTTTTAGAAGCCTTCATTTCAGAGCTTGCAAAACGGAGGGCCCCTCATCTGCATTTCGCTCATGGGATCGAGGGGGAGGAGGAAGTACTTATTTGTTTGTCCCCGGAAATGTGAAAATTGCGCCGACCGATATTTCGCTCAGTGAGGGGGGAGCACTATTTTGTTGTCTCGAAAGGGGGGCGGACACTCCTTTTTTTTTTCTTCTTTTTGCTAGAGGGGGGGGGGGGGGGGGGGGGGTTTCAATTTGTGTCTAAAAAAGGTAAAAATTAACGTTTTTCTAACCTGTTTTTTGCCAGGCTCGTCGCCCCCCCCCCCCCGTCGGATCCGTGCCTGCAGACATTGTTCAATTAAAAAATGTTTGAAAATGCCATAGTTATTACTACCATTCCAGTAATGATATCGAAAAAGAAACGCAAAACGAGACTATAAGTTTTAAAGAAGGGAGGTCGTTGAAGATTTTCGAAAGTAGCGTTCCATACGCTTCATTCTGAGAAACAGATACGGGAGTCACAAATCTAACACATATTACTTGCTGTTGTAAGTTATATTTTTGTTAACAATACTTTTTGCGAGATATTCTGGCGATTTTTATGTAAATTTTTGGAGCTTGTTTGTATTTAGACTTATTTTCAATGTTTAAAACCAAAAGTAAAACAATGAATACTTTACACCTGGCCCATATACTTGATTTGTCGTAGTGTTATGTTTTGTGCAGTTCCATTGGCGTTCGCGTGCTTTCTCTATCAGGGCGAGCCGCGCTGCGGCCTGACTGAAGAGGTCATAAACTCGCTGATTGCTGTAGCTGGCGCAACGCAATGGAATTTGGTACTCGTGCACCCATAGGTGCATTACTATCCTGGCTGGGTATTAATAAAAGCTGTGCTATTGATTCTCAACATTTCAAAGTCAAACACCACTGTTGACTGATTTCACTAAAAATCGGTACTTTAGTTTAGTCGTACTTTAGTGACAATTGATGACACCTAAATAGCAATAAAATACAATTTTTTTCCGATATTAGAATATAATAGAAAGAATAATTACAATACATATTCAAATTGTGAGGCTACTGTCAAACTTGCCGATCAGCCGCATCACGCGTCGGCATGATTGTGTGCATTTGTCTGTTGTGAGTGTAATGTCTTGACTATTCATGTATTCAAATGCTGCCTATTAACACGTACGGTAGTGCAGTGCTAGAGGTCAATACGCATTAGCATTGACTCTCTATGCTTTGCTGGAGTGGTACTCGTGATTATGAGGGTAAAATCTATTACTTTAAAAATGTATGTTTATTTCAGGAATCATTCTTTCGGAATCCTGCCCGAAGTCATTCCAACTTACGTAAGCTAAAGTTCTATGTGCTTAAGTTGAGTAGGCCCTCTCTCACTTAAACTCGAAGCGACTCGAGTGGAACGGCCAATGGGAGCGTGTAAACTCGCTGTACACCGATCAATGGGCAAAGTTCTTTGTTGGGGGTAGAGGTTAGTTAGAATTATATTGTGGTCAGGACCCGGGGCCCAGGGAAGAAAATCAGATGACTCTCTTCGACCTCCCCAGTCTCTACTAGTTCTCCTTGGTATCTGCTGTCTAGAGTGGGAATATGTTCTTTGTCCTCATTTGTGAATGTTTTTTCAAAATATTTGCTCAGAATATCTTCTTTCTCTTTGTTGTTACTGGTTACTTGACTATCTTCTTTCATTTAGTCTCCAATCTTGCTCCGTGAGTTCAATCTTCCATTTGTTTTGCGCTTTAGTTAAGTAGGCCCTCTCTCACTTAAATTTGAAGCCACTCCAGCGGATCGGCCAATGAAAGCGTGTAAACTCACTGTACAGCACTCAATTACAAACAATATGCGCAAAGTTCTTTGTGTTAAGCTCAACTTAAGTTTAATGGCAATGTCAATATGTAATATTACGTCACACCACAGAGATTTTGACATGTCATTCTCTGATACAATTACAAACAATATTTGAAATTGATTTTAGAATGAAAAATTCACGTTATGAATGTCGTAATACGGGGGTAGGCACAAAGAACTCAACCATATGCAGCTTGATTGTAGGTTGGGTGATGAGCCCATTTATTTGTTGATCATCAGTAACACATGTACATCAGCATGAAGAAAACCCTGCAAATCAATGAGATGTGCCAAACATAAATACAAGACAAGTATAGATTCTTATCAACATATATCTGATAGTATACAACAATGTGGGCGAGGTAAACAGACAGTAAATTATCACACTGTTGGTTTTAACTGTGGCATCATGCATCAATGACAATATAATAATTAAGACAATATCATTGTCTTTAATTAACACATATTATATGAAAGTACATATTCAAAATGCATTAATAAACAACATTACACCAATTAAACAATGTATGTATTATTATCATAACGTATTATAATTCCTACCCAAGGTCTCTGAAGATACAAGCAGGAGCAGCTCCCGGCTCCCAAAAGACAACACAGTCCCAGACCACAATATTACAGCTTCCAGCAAACCTCGCTAGCATGTCATCTATAACAAATCATTAAAACATCCTTATAGTATACTAATAACATATTACATAAAGTAACTCATCAATTAAATTATCATACAAAGATTCCATGGGCGCCGCCATCTTTATCACAATATTAACATCATTCGCCCTCAACGGCGAAATCATTACAATCAATAATTCACGCACTAAATACAGGTAGGCGTTAACCACTAACCATTTAAATGACAATTTATCTAAACATCATATAGAATAAATGTAATAACATTTATTTAAACGATCAATGTAATTTGATTAACTAGATACCATATCCCTATGAAGACACGCTATTCTGACTAACGGAAGTTGTCAAGTACAAAATCAAATACATTCTCCTTCCAAAATAATCCTTATTTTCCTCTCCTGAAGGACATAAAAACATTTCATAGACACGTATCAAAGCTTACAATCTTTACTATCAAAGTGACATTTAAGAAAACAACTTACTTCTTTCAAAGGTGTAAAAAGAAACAAGGGCGTTGCACGTTAAACAGACGGCCCGACACACGCATAACCTCCTTCGCCCATGACAAGATGCAATGTGTACCCATGTATCTGCTATGTCAGGCAGATTCCCGCGCCCAAATACAAAGACCTATCACAATTCTATAAACAAAATATCCTTCCTCTTTTTGCTATTTTTGTACAAACACCTTTTGAATGAAGTAAAAATTAGTTATTACACATTATAAGCAATCTTATTCCTTTTTTACATAGACTTAAAATATGTCAATTCTTCCTCAAGATACCAAAACAAACTTATAAATCGAGGAACTACATTTCATTCACCGTATTTTTAAACAGCAGTTTTATGCAAATTATACAAAGTCATTTGCATAAGAAAAACATGTATAAATCCAATTTCCTACATGAACAAATCATATACACTTTGTTTGAACATGTTTGATACTACAGAAGACTTCATCAGAGAGCAACAACCTAAATATATTATTTTCAAATTTCAATTCATTTTATAGTAATCTCGAATAATGTTTTTTTTTTTAATGACTTTTAGGTAGAGTCGTCAGGGTATCTGAGTAATATTTTTTCTTCTTCAACAAGTTGGTATCAGTTGGTGGTCTTGGCTTCATCTTACCTTCATCTTATCAGATTAAGAGAGCTGATGAAATGGCCAATGAAAGAGAACAAAAAATGACTTTAATCAAAGAATTGCGACCAGGAATGAAGAATCTTCAAATCATATTCATCGTCCTTGATATAGGTAAGGGGGCTTGTGTATTCTTTTGCTTCAAATTTTCATTCCAAATCAGATCCTTAGAAATATCAGGCACTGTTGTTAGCCAATTGATTAACAGGAATTTGTTATATTTTCATTGATTTTTGTATTTATGTTCCGTAAACAGTTTTAATTATGAGCAATGAATCAGATTAGAATTTGCCCTGTAATTTTCTAAGCTACAATCTTGTTGACAGTGTAAATAGATTTAATGATGTGAATGCACAATATTATTTCACATTTCACTTGAATAGATTTGTTTGATAAAAGATCAATTATTAATATGTATTTGTTTATATTACAGTTTGTCTCATTTAGTAACTGTTACATTTTATTGGTATTCAATTCGAAAAAGAATTTTGATCAAACACTTCTAAATATAATTCTGCAATTTCAGATAAGCCAACCAAGACTAAAGATGGGCACGAGGTGAGGTCTTGTAAAGTGGCTGATAAAACAGGATGCATCAATATGTCATTATGGGATGAGCTGGGAGAAATCGTTCAGAGTGGTGATATTATCAGATTGACTAAAGGGTAAGTAGTCAAACAGAAGTAGTATTCTCAAATTTAATTGTGATGATGAATTTTAATTTCACAGAATAAAAAAATGTCCACTTGAGGATGGGTTGCTAAACTTCTGCTGATGCCTTTCTGAACTATTTATAAATGCGGACATTAAACAGCGGTTCATCAAAAGGCAGATATCTTTTCAGAACTTATTAAAAGACCTATTCACTACATGGACAAATACAAAGATATGCCTATTTTATGTCAGTTTAATTTTTGGGTAAACAGAGATAGGAGAGAGGTAAAAATTTATGGAAATGAAGTAGAATGTTGTCCATTAACTGGAACTATATTTTAAAAATGACATAATATATATCATGTTGTACACATAATTATGATCCATTGTATTTTAACAGGTATTCTTCAATGTACAGGAATCATTTGACTCTCTATAGTGGGCAGGCTGGAAAACTTCAAAAAGTTGGAGAGTGAGTACCTTATTGCTGGCGTGTTAAAACAAAATCTCTGAGAAATGAAAATTAAGCAATTTCAGAAAGGCATAACCAAAAAGCATTATGATAATATCCTTTAGCATTTATACAATTTCAATTCAATTCAAGTTTATTTCTACAAATTTCATTATGCAAACATTTCTATGGACTCAAAGAAATTGAAGATAAAAGATTTTTTTATATAGATTTTACAAAATAAGCTATAAATCAACAAGAGTGAGATATACTTTTAGAAATGTAATATTTAAAAGCAAAATAAATCACTTACAATAGTCAACATCATATCCAAATATCATTAATAGAATGTAAATTTTAATACATGTTTTACGTATAATAGCTTTGATTGTTCATTTTCGTATTTTCTCCCTGCTATCTCTTATTCTTGTGACAGGTACTGTATGATATTCTCAGAGACCCCCAACCTGAGTGAACCGAATCCAGAATTCATTGCTCAATCTAAAATAGTGAGTCTTCATGTTTCATTGTGATTTTTTTCTTTTTTAAGGTGAAAAACGTAGCCTACTTAGTTGCAATTAAGGGTAGCTTGGAAAGAACTTTTGAAACGTACCTTTCTCTACAGTATAGTAGGGATAATATTTTGTATCTGGAGTCACAATTTTTAGTCTACAAAGTCATCATCAAGATGTAACATTTGAGGGCTATAAGGATGTCTAGTGGAGAATTGTCAATTGTAGGGGGGGGGGGGGGTGTTATAAATCAAAATTGAGATTTGGCCTACCATAAGAGAAGATTTTGGGAGGGGGTATGGAATAGCGGATGGAAGTAGGAAGGGGATAGAGTTTAGGGTTGTGTGTCAATCATAACACACAATGAATGCTCTGACTTGGAGGAGGGGAAGGGCTCTAGACTGCTCTATGACTCTATTAAATACAACCATTGTTTCAGTAGTTGACTCAGGTCACAATCACTTTTATTTGATTCACAAAAACAGATACTCTTGTGAGAATAAAAATAGGTTGTCAAAAAAAAATGATTACTTCTCCTTTAAAACAAGAAGTAAATGCCAGACATATGATTTCTTGAATTAACAGATTGACTGTTTTTTGTTGTTTTTTCTTCTTTAGAATTTGCAAGATGGTAGAAGCAACTCGCCTACAGGAAATAATCAAGGACTAGCCCAGCAGGCACCTAATAAGCCAAGTAATGGTAAGTCATATCCATGAGTGTCTTTATATGTTCACAGAGCACAGGTTCAACAAGATTTATAAGAATTGTAGGTATGTTTACTGGTTCTGTTTTTATGCTCCAATTTTGTTTTGTTTTGCTATTACCAATATTACCTCCCTTACAGAAGAAATCAGGAATGTCCATAGTTCATTTTCATTTCATTTTTTTATTAAGTTTCCCTATTTGATTCATGTGAAAAACAGGATGTAGGCCTAGCCTACTGTATCACTAAAGCTATGGTCACAAATCAGAACAGCGACCGATCAGTAGCCTGCTCGGTCGCTGCTGGAATTAGGCATCGCCCAGCGATTAGGTCGGTGCCCGGGCGGCAACCGCCCAGGCACCGAGCGTATTTTGGCGGTGAGTGAAAAGTGAGCAGGCGCCGCCCAAATTTTAACTCTGCGCTAAAACTTCAGCGGCGACCGAGCGATGCCCTAAAAACGAGCGGTGCCTGGGCGGCCGCCGCTCGGTGGCCGGGCAGCCGCCGGCAGAATTGGTTAAAAACTCGCCGCTCGGCCGCCGAGCAGGCTGCTTTTGGGGTTTGTGACCATAGCATAAGATTTTGTTCTGTATTCACAAGCAGACAATTATCAGTGGCCCCTCTTGCCAAGTCTTTTTTCCCTTATTTTACTTTTTTTCTTCTTTTTTATAGGTGTTAGGATGGGGAACAGTGGTGTTCCTCCTTCTGGAAATATGGATCAACAACATCAACGTCCTCCCACGCCCCCACCTGGGGGATTCCCCCACCAAGCTATCCGAGGAGGGAGGGGTCATATGCCCTCCAACAGAGGAGCCTTTTCAGGAAGAAGTCGAGGAAGGAGAGGGCGATAGTGCATTGCTTTTGTGATAGGAAAATTTGAACAAATTTACTAGAGAGGATTAGTTCATCTTCAGTGACTTCATAAAAAAATGTGGAAACTCTGAACGTTGGTGCTGTCACACTGTCATTGGAGTCTTGAATACTCTTATTTGGAACTCGGCAGTTTTGTGAAATATAATAGTCTGTGGCTGCCTTCTATATTACGCTATACCTCTGCAAGGAAAGACTTTATTTTGATACTTGATCAAAAGTGATTGTGACCTGAGCCAAGCTTAAACCAACTTGACAGTGGATGCGGAACGGCTGGAGTACGGGGCTTATCGACAAGGTAGTCTACAGCCTTTGTAGATCAGACCCTGCATTATTTGTTAGACTGAATAAGCATTTCCATGTGCAAACTTGTGCATTGTCAAATGTCATCCCCAGCTTTTTGTTGGGCTGAAATATATTCCCATCTCAGTTTAAAGCTCATAATTTTTTTTTTGTTGTCTCAGATGTTTTTTTAATTGCTATTGTTATCATCATTATTATTAATAGTATCCACATTCCAAATAAGGTAGTGACTTTAATGCTGGATGTACAAGTTTGAGTGAAAACAGACCATATTAATGATACAAATTGGGGAAAACTGACCTGATCAATTCCTTAATTCTTCCAACTATATTATTACAATTTAATTACATTTTAGGTGAATGTAAATCTTCACAAAGCAATGAATCGGCTCTATATACCATTCCAGACATTTAAGTGTTAAGATTTTTTAAAGCCCGTCTTATATCTTATTTTCATGGAAAAATGGTTGGGAGAATTTACTGTTAGAGGGTGTCGCACAGTGACGCCTTCAAAGAAAACCATAAATATCTTTGTGGTTTGAGATTATTTTCAGGATTGTTTGCATGTTAAAGGGTTAGTACAGTAGAAGAAATATAATAAGTAACATTTCATGCGAAAATTACACATTTTTTTTCATCAACCTTCAACAATGTTACCGAGTCACTTTAACGTTCGCATCCTACCGGGTACCTATTTAATAGCTGGGTGGAGAGTGGTAAGTATAGATTAACAACTTGCCAAAGGGCATGAGTGCCGGGCTTGGATCCGAATTTAATGTTGTTCACTTTGAGTTCAAGTCTGAACACAATATGTGCACCATCTCCTCTCCCTAGGAAGCTACATTCACATGCACATGTGCAAAGTGAATGCATATTTATCAGTCACACTTGGTTTTTAAATCCCAGGTAGGATTCTTTCCTCAATAATAGTGACAAATATTTCTTTTAATAATGATCAAGAGATTTGAGCTATGTGACTGGCATGGTCGTATGCTTTTTATGATGTTTGATACTGTAATCATGTACATGTATTCGTGTGTACCAACCATCCTACTTGAAATGCTGTGTTTTTACATTTTAAATATTCTCATCAAATATAAGTTGAAATGTCATAAATTTGTTGTTGAACCAGCTTCTATTTTCTTCTATATACACCAAAAGTCATCATCAACCCCCCCCCCCCCCCACACACACACACTCACATACCTCCATTATAGACTTTATATGAACAAATGGAGGAAACTAAAGACGGTGGTAAAAATCCTAAATTTTGTATCAATAATATATATGTTGTTTTTTCAAGAAGTGAACAACTTCATATATCCCTCTTGGAAGAAGACATACAGGTAGACACAACAAATGACTGATAAAGCTAGGGACTCCAGTCTCCATTGCATTTTGTTTTGGTGTCAAAATAGGGTCTAACTTGTAGACAAGTTTTCTATGGTAATTCAGTAGAATCATACAATATTTCTAGTTCATCAAAAAAAGTCCCTATAGATACACTTCTGAAATATTGTGTTTAGCATCGAGACAAAGACTGATTCACAATTTCATTGTAAGGGAGGAATTTCAGAAATGCCTTTAAAGGAGGCAAATTTGATCTCAAGGAAGCATCAGTGTGTAAAATACTAACATATCATGTTTTTATATTTTGTATCACTAGTATACATCAATGAAGTAATAAGTATATGAAAGCCTCATTTTCTATAAATGTAATCAATAATGAACTGTATGCTCAAGGTTTATATCAGGGATGTTAAGTCTAATTATATCAAAGCCAGAGAAGCGAGCTTACATAAGTACTGCTATTGCTATTATGAAGGAATAGAGAAGGGGTAGGTTCTTTAGCCGGACCAAGTAGAGGGGGATTGAAAGAGACACTGGAAGAAAGAGAGAGATGTGAGAGAGACAGAGAGAGGGTGTGTGGGAAGGGGGGGGGGGGGAAATATGGAATATGTTTCTTAATTTGCATATTTATTACAGTTCGCCTAGTCTTGCACTTGAGAACTCCAAACACAATAAATGCAAAATAACATATTGTCAGTGTGAATTGCAACCGTCCAAGACATTGTCATTGGGAGAATGATAGTTGTTTTATTAAGTACAAAAGATTCTCAATGTGTGTGTGTGTGTGTGTGTGTGTGTGTGTGTATTGGGTTTTTACAGACGTGTATCAATCAGATATGATTATTGAAAATTTGAAAGAGAGATTTTTATAAAAGAAACTTTTCCGGGCAAAAGCACTATTTTGTTCAAGTTAATTAACCGGACCGCCCCCCCCCCCCCTTCCAAGTGGTAACTATTTAAGCAAAATGAGAAAAAAATTATAATAATGATGGACGGGAATATATCAAAAACTGTTATTTCAGGACCGGGCCACATATTCCAGTTCAGTGGGCCCAGGCTAGCTGATCTGACAGCTGAGGCCTAACAAAAAGATGTTGTATTTGCCTAGCTTAGTTTAGGTGCCAAAACATGGGTCGGTCGGTCGGAAATGTTTTTTCTTTTTAAACCTTTTTTTTTCTTTTTTTCTCCCTCTTTGGGCAGATATTTCTCAGTTTGATGCTTTAATATTTTTTTAAATCTAAAAAACGGTAACAAAAAAACAAACAAAAATTAAAAGCCGACTGTAGCTAGCTAGATTTCAAGATTTTTGGGTCGGTCGCTACTACAACATCGCATATACATACGAACCATATCAGAAACGGATCAACTTACTTTGGATTCGTTCATTATACATAGGGGAGAAAGATCTATAATTTATGATGTAATTTAAAAGACTTATTTTGTCGGAATTTAATAAAACGAAAATGACTTTGACATTTGAAAAAAAAAAAATGTATTTTCAAATTTCGTATATGATTAATATATAAATTTGGAACTGGAATTTCTCAATGTTATAATGCCATGATAATTACATTTCTCGAACCCCAATTATCGAATCGATCTTTCGTTTGGTCACGTGATATCATCTAGGCAACCGAACGCTTCTAAGTTATATTTCTGTTGTCCGGAAACCTAAATTCACGTAAGACAATTATGGTTATTACATTATTCTCTGTGATTGTATTGACACTCATATTTTTAAAACTCTGAAAATAATCATATTTGTTTTGTATCATATCTCCAAAGGTTTATATATTGTAGACTAAAGACGAATAAAAGAGCGCGTACAAAGAGTGTGAGTTGATGTGTGAATATATTACAGTCCCACTAATGTTTTTTTGTGTATTGTGTGATGATGTATATTTTTCTTCTTCGCTATTATTATTAAATTACAAGCCACTGCACCGTCGGGTGTGTTTTCTTACTTATGTAGGTTCTGTGCAGGTGTATATATAGTGACTCAATAAAATACCTGTAAAGAGGGAGAGAGTTTGTCAGATGTTAGATTTAAAGTCAAAATAGATCTAGATCTAGACTCTATCTAAAGTTAGAACTGTTGCCTGTCTGGAGGGTTGCTGTTCATTGACATTTCAAATTTGATTTCTGACTCTGAGTCTGATCGGGAGTGGCCATATTACTTGGTAAAACACTCACTAGATCTAGACCTCTAGGTCTACCCTTCCCAAAATCCAGTCAAATGAATCTTTAGTTTTTCTTTCTAGGTGGATCCTTTGTTTGAATAGGGAGGCCAATGCCCAAATCTAACTTTTTAATTACTAATTTGTTTATACTAAAACTAAGATTAAAAGAAAGCATTTACTTTCACTAAGAAAATCAACCCATCTGCCGACTCCATAGGTTCCATCAAATAGGAGATATCCAGCTGGTTTGTAGCCATTTCCTTCTACGCCTTTCCGTACGTAAGAGCCTTGAAACAATTATATTTCATGTCGCAAAGTTACGTTCATAATTAGACAGGCCCGAGGGACAAAGTTCATGATGAAGTTTAAAACTTCGCGCGAAAGTGCAATCACTCAACAGCGGCTAGCCTTGAATCGGTCGCACACGTACACACCTTCTTCTTCTTAGTTGATCCCTCCACCGACACAGGCAAGCCCCGATGCAGGCTGAAGTCCAGCCATCAATGTGCGAACGATTACATCTTCTACTACTACGAGCCGAAGACGATGGTTCAAAAAAGGAAAGAAATATATATAATTCATTGATATTTACCTTAGATGTGTATTCCAATAATTTGATTTCCTCATGAGTATTCCTTATTATCAACGATCGAGAAGTTACGAGGTCCAATTAAAATCCATCTTGCAGCGAACACAATCATAGCGCACATCCATGCATGCATGCAACGTACGTGTACTAATATTTCTCTCACTCTCTCTCTCTCTCTCTCCCTTTCGCTATACGTAACATACACACTCACTAACCATGTATACACACCTTCAAATCATGGCTTTCATTTCAATTCTCAATTGGAGTATGGACTGCTCACGTAGACTTTTTTTTTACTGAAATATCTTTTTTAACACTTCTCATACATTACTGCACGACACTCGTATCTAGTGCTGTGAGAATAAGGTACTAGGGTCTATAAATAAGACTACGCTTTCCGCACGATCTGACCGGAGCTCAGATTATGTCGCAATACCCTTTATTTTTGGCGCGAACAATGACGTCACTGTTCACTGTTTTCCTTCTCATTTTGAGATGGATGTAGCTATAGGGCTCAAACCAACGCAAGATTGACAGAAACATCGTACTCTATCTACTTTCGAATGTTCAGTTTGTAAAAATCTGTATTTAAAAAGATATAATCTTTTTTCTTTATATTTTCTAGTTGTTAGAAGTGGCAATTGTGAACATCTGAAATGTTGATCTCTATCAAAAGTTCTTTACTCAAAACGGATCCCATATTTTTAGGGTCTACCTTCTGCCAATGAGAAGGTTTTTAGTGAGCAAACCTCTACGCCCTCTAGGATTTTCTTAGTCGGTGGTGCGAGTGCGTCAAGGTCGTCTGCAACCACAGTTATTGGATTAAAAAACGTCAAAATCTGCAAGATTGTCAACAAATGGTGAAAGACTGTTACAGATCCGTGATTATAGGTATGTTGTGAAATGTATAATTGTATTTTCTTTTCATATTTTCTTCAATTTTTATTTTTACATCATTTTTTTCCCTTTGCTAATTTTTTGAAGTGGGCGACGAGCGCACAAATCGTAGGTGTAGAAGCCTTACGCCCGGGCATTGGCCTCCCTACTTTGAAGTTTTACATCCCAAGCCAAGGATTCTTGCTTGCACAATGTTTTACTTTTAGCGCCGAAATAATATTTTTTCTTATCGCTAACGATAATTCCCAATTTTAGTGAAAGGTGTTCTTAATCTTATAACAATTAATACAATTTTTGTTTTCAATCTATAGGGAAAAAAGTCTCAGTGGTGAGTGACTGCATGACTTGAAAGCGACTCTGTGCAGCTAAATCATCATGCCTGCCAAAAAGGAGACAATTTCTCTCCAGAAGGAGATTCTGAACCAGGAGATGTGGGATGAATTATTGAGTCTTGAAGGACTGACAGGTAATAGACATCTATGGAAATACATGTAAATCCTATCGTGATAAAATGTCTGATCTCAATTATTTTTTCTTAGCTTATTAAAGGTCTCCTTTTTTCTGTTTAATTGTATTGACCTTTTTTACATTTAAACTGGGAGTAATTTGTTTACTCAACAAAGAATGTGATCCTTAAATTCTTGGATTTTACAATGAAATAAAAGAACACCCTCAGAACTTTGAGAAAGGAATAAAGAATTTTGTTTACAAAATGCCTAATACTAATAGTAATAGACCCGCAATTTCCTCATCGTATTCAAAAATAGATTACTGAGAGAAAGGTCTGCACTGTCTGGAATGTGTTTTTACCATCTTGATTTGATCACAGAAAATCATGAATGCTTTGTTATATTATCTGTCATGAAGAAAGATGATTTGTGTATTTTTGTTCTTGTTATGTTCAGTTATTGATGTATATCAGAAATGGTGTGGACCGTGTGCTGCAGTACTAAGTCTCTTCAAGAGGCTCAGGAATGAGGTCGGAGATGATCTGCTCAGATTTGCTGTGGTGAGTGCACATTTCTTTTTAAATAATAATTATGGATTAGTTTTAGATTGTGGTAAATCCATTAATGATTCTTAAACCAGAACCTCTGCTAACTTGCGTATATTGAGCTTTGTCAAGTAAGCCTTGGCAAGCTGTTTGATTTCTCAGGCCACAAAAGTATTATTTGTCTAGAGTTGATTCTTTGCAGGCATTCTTCTATGTACCTTGATTATTTTCTTGAAAAGGGGGAAGTTTTCTTTGTACTTGTAAATGAGAGAATAAACTTTGATTCTCATCAAATAGTCTAATGATATATACATGTGTATATTTTGGGTATTACTTAGGCTGAAGCAGATAGCATCGAAAGCCTTGAGAGGTACCGTGGAAAATGTGAGCCTTCGTTCCTTATGTATGGGAGTGGTCAACTGGTCAACGTGGTGAGGGGGGCCAACGCTCCTAAACTCCTCAAGGACGTAGAACGAGAGCTGAAACAGGAACACAAGGTTCTAGAGGAAGGAGTAGAACGAGTAGTGGTAAGTATTCAATAATATTAATGGTTAAAATTTGTGAAAAGCTGCTGTTGAATGTATTATTTGAGATGAAGGTTTCCAACCCTTTTAATCAGGGTATTGAGTTGAGGGGGCACATTAGTGACCAATTGTAGGAAGGGTCTGTCTGAGTGGATCCTTGGCCTCTTATAGGTTTAATAAATGTATGATACTTTTTACCCCTTTGTTTATCCGGTGCCATGCTACTTACAATGTTTTGTCTGTATACATGTGTGACTTTGGTATAGCAATTTGATTTGTCCAACTAAATGTGGTGACTATATCTTTGTTTAGATCAAGGATCCCTTGTTAGCAGCCTTTGAGGCTGAAGAACATCAGGCAGCACAGGCAGAAGAAGTTGAGAAGAAGAAACAGGAGGAGGATGCAAGGAGTAAGTCATACTATGTATCATTTCTGCTTTCATTCCATTCATCATTCCATCTCTTATTCCTTTCACTATTGTGGAGTGAAGATAGAAAGGCAAGGCATTATACCTCACTCCATATCTTCTATCATTCAATCATGTTCAGATCAAAGAAGATCGAGTCATAGCTTTCTAACATTTGATCTTTCTTTCCATTATTTGCTCATTTTTTATGTCTGAATGTTGACATAAAATATGATCACATAGGCCAACCTTAATATCAAAATGTCAACTAAGACTACTAAATGTTTCAAAGAACATGATCAGTTGAATGTATCTTGTTTGTTACATGATTGTTATCTCACATTCATAGCATTAGGTGGCCTTTCATTTGAAATGAATTTCTTGCTTACTGATATTTATTTTTAAAAAGATAATTCTAATGATTAATTGCTTTTGCTGTGAAATTAATCAAGTTCTTAGAGATCATTCAGCTAAATGGATGAAAACACTCCTGGTGTAGACTCATGGAATATAATGTCATGATATCTTTATTATAACAACATTAATTCACTTCACTTTTTCCCCCTCATTAATTAGCATATTTCTTCAGTAAATCTGCTTTCAGTAACTTTGTGCTATGCTAATCTCCCTTTGTATTTGCTAATACCTCAATCTCTTTCATATTTTGCTGTGTGCCATCATTCATTTTTCACAATCATTCATTTTCAGTTCATTTCAACTTCTCATCAGCTTTCAATTGCAGATCACTTGCATCTCCTTTGACCAGATGCTAGAAGTCTGGAGTTATTTCATTCTTCTGTACTTATTGGCATTGACCCATTATGGCTACATGGACCATATGCAGCAGATGCATCAAAGCAGTATTCATTTAGTCCGATATCTAATAAGTTAGTCAGAGCATAAATGAATAGTATTCTGATAGTGTAGTTTTTGTCCTTTCCAATTTACTAACCTGACCTTTCTCTGCGTCTCTAGTCAAGGAAATAAAAGAATTAGGTGATGAAGGAGAGGTTAGCGTGAGACCAGTAAGTCAGGGTACAGTAGACACCTTGATGCATGACAGACAAGATGGATCAAAGACAGGTATTCAACTATAAAGGCGTCATATCAATTAGTGTAATGTCCTTCTCTCACTCACTCAGTACACAGACAGGTATTCAATTACAAGGGCATTGTATCAATTAGTTTAATGCCCTTTTTTCACTCACTCAGTACACAGACAGGTATTCAATTACAAGGGCATTATATTATATCAATTAGTGTAATGCCCTTCTCTCACTCACTCAGTACCTGGACAGGTACTCAAATAACTCACAACTACAAGGGCATTCATGCCCTTCACATATATCACACAGTACATAGAATAAATTACAGTGATGGTTGCAATGTCAGTTGTTAATAGTTAAGTGTGATGTAAAGATTGAAGTACACATCCATGTCAGTATATATCAATCAAATTATGGCTCATTTATAATTCAGTACTCAGTATCCAGTAAGTGCACATATTAAGAACAACAACATGTACTCAGTGCATTTAATGTATATTATTTATAGCTCAGTGTATTTAGTATAGAGTATCATTCAGAATGATTTAGAGCTGTTTATTCACAGTTTGAATGTTGTGACAATAATGGATTCACAATGTCAATAGACTATATATATAACTTTCACCAGAAAATTCATGTCAAATATCTACTGTGCCTGTGTTCTGCACAAAGTCACACAGTTACATGGAATATTGATATACAACTTGTGAATCAAATACATGTACTTGTATGTAGCACATATATTATCTTTAGATAGTAATTGATGTTGAGAATACAAAGTAAAATCAGTAATGATTTTGAAGTTCATTTAAACATGTATTCCCAATATTTTGCTTTATGCTCTATTGAAAACTAATGATATCATCACTTAAGAACTGTATGGTTAGATAGCTGTTATAGCAAGTGGAAATACTATTTGTATAAGTACCCCATACCCAATCTCTTTTGTAAATGTTCATACTTTATTTGCTGGTGTTTCTATGTAAATAGCACAAGGAAAGCCAAACAAATAACCAGCTTAATATCTTCATATTTTATGCTTCCAATCCTTCTTTCTCTATTCTGCAATTATGCTTTCAATCTGCTTTTAAATGTTCATCACTTCAAAATCACTATGCCATTTTTCATATCTTTATTTAGCACAAATATTTATATCTCACTCAACTTATCAAACCTAACAACAGTATTAATTTTATTAACTGTAAATTAACAGCCATTAGAATAGAAATTAACAACTCTTTGATATACAATGGCAGTTTTATGTTTCGTACATTGATGAAGTGTTCTGTAGTAACTGATAGATGTGCATGTATTTAAATGTGAGCACATATATATCACCTATATATATACTCTATGCTTTTAAAAAATTTACCAAAAAATTCAGCAAAAATAAATCCCTAATAGTCATTGTGAAGCAAACTATCTTCATATATATGAATCAAAGTGAACAAATTCTCAGACTAAATGCAAAAATGTTGTTTTTCTTTTCATTTCAAGGTTATTATGAAAATGAAATTTATGCACAAATTTTTCCTGCAAACACTCAATGGTGATTGGTATTTTCCACACATTTGATAAATATATTAAAGGTACTATGTCCCATTTGCAGGCCAAAAAAATGAAAAGGTTAAATTCCAATGGCATTTGAAAGATAATACTAATTTAGAACTTCCCTAAAAAAAGGGGGGGGGGGCTTGAAAATGTCTTAAGTGGGAAAATAATGACTATTAGTTGTTGATTCGACTTAAAGCTATAGAGCCAGTAAGTAATAGTCTGATTTTCAGACCATTGTACCGAATGGTCATACGTTTCATGCTGCGCAAAGATTCAATCAGTTTAATTTTGGCCATTACAAGAAGTGGGTGATGTAGACAAATGCTCATGTACCGTTTACAGCTCATTTTATGTATGTTATTACCAAAGAAGAAAAAAGCCAGTCAGTCACTCAATAGTGTCTGACAGTGAAGTCTAGCAAGTAAACAGGTTTCCTTTCATAATTTGAATATTAGGACACTGCTAACGTTTAAATTTCACAGATAGGACATATATGACATATTCATAATTCCTGCAAAGTTCTACAAAATTTGATGTTGGCTGCAAAAGGGACATAGTATCTTTAAAGTAAATATTCTTGTATCAATAAAGATGTTTAGATATTTAGCCAAATATAAAGACAAAGGCATAGTTTATGTGTAAATCTTGAGAAAATGTGAGTATGAAATTATATTTAATACTGTTGTGATAATGCATTCTACAGAGCCTCTTCCTAAAGAAGTCACAGTTGTTCTCATCAAACCGGACGCTGTTGCTAGTGGCCACGTGGATGATATCATTGCTAAGGTTAGTAATTGCTTTTTTAAGAATTTTCTACTGGATGGTTGTATCATGTGAAGTGAATTCATTCTCTAGAGTCTATTCAAACAAGTAAACCACAACAACAACAAATTTCAGAACGACAGGATTTTCCATTTACGGATCTTTATTCCAAACATAGACATGCTGATTTTAGCCAAAATATTTTATACGGGGTAGTAGCTACGTGTAGTAGCGCGATAATACTTTTCCCCTGTAATTTTGTTTTTCTTTTTTCAATTATACAGTGGTAAATTGGGGGAGGGAGCCAGGTCATCTTCCAAATAGTGAATGTATAATTTTATGTGGGCACCCCCTCTTTTTCAAATCCTGGATCTACAAGTGCTTGTGTTTTATTTCATTTTTTTTTATTGAGGATATAGCATCAGCTTTTTCAAATTCATCATGTAACACAAAATTACTACTCTTTTGGAAGTTGAATTGGGAGTTTTATTTCTGTAATAATAATTGTGATGGTTGTAATAAGGATGAGAATAATGGTAACTCTTCACTGATATATCTATGTAGAAGTGTCGTAGTCTAGTGGTTTAAGCACTTGACTTGAAATTCAAAGGTCGTGGTTCGATCCCAGACACAGCACTAATGTCCTTTGGCAAGGCATTAATCTTCATTTGCCACACTCGACCCAGGTGAGGTAAATGGGTACCTGGCAGGAATTAATTCCTTGAAATGCTAGAGCGCTGTAATGGCGCCTCGGAATAGAATTTCTAGATAGACGGCGCTATAGAAATGCCTATTATTATTATTATTATTATCTATTGTCCTAGATTGAGGAGCATGGTTTTGAGATCCTGGCTACAGAAGATAAGACTCTGACTGAAGAAGAAGCCAGAGAGTTCTACAAACAGCATCAAGAAGAAGATCACTTTGAGGAGCTGGTCACCTTCATGGCTAGTGGTCCTAGCAAAATTCTTGTCTTGACCCGAGGTAACACGGGTGAAGGGGTCGTGTCGGATATCAGGAATCTGCTAGGACCCAAGGATATTGAAGTTGCCAAGGAGCAAGCACCTGAAAGGTAGCTATTTTTTCCTGATTTTCCCTCATTTTTCAGATTTTTCCCTATTTACTTACTCAAAAGGGGAGAATGTTTTAGATGCCATTTTTTTTCCTCCCGATTTTACCTGGATTTTACCCAGAGTTTTCCCCCATTTTCCTGATTTTCCCCCATTTTCCTGATTTTCCCCTATTTTCCAGATTTTTTCCTATTTACTACTCAAAAGGGGGAGAATGTTATAGATACCATTCCCCCCCCCCCCCCCCCGAATCCCTTTTTAAAAACCCTTTTTTTTTTTTTTTTTTTGGTGCTCACTATCACCCCTGGTTATGTTTGAGTAACACAACTTTTTCTTTTCAGCAATATCTCAAGACCAGCAATTGATAAAATAAACGAAATCCCAATTTGATAGTAATGTGCATGGATGCCTTCACAGCAAACATGAATGGTTTGGATTAGGGTAATTCACTTAGAGGTCATGGGTCATTGAGTAACTATACATCAAAAATTATACATTAGTTAGGAAATCAGCATGATTTACATTTGATTTTTGTAAGTGGGCCGACAGTGACCTACAGCCAGTGACCTTAGCGAGTCCCTTGTAAGTCCCTTGTTTGATTATTTCAAACTATACATTCCATTTGCATAGGTAAAATGTGTTTGAAGCATCATGAGTAATCAGAGGAATAAGGCTACTAGAATCTTATTCCTGTACCGGTAGTTTGTACTAGCAATTTAATTGTTCAAATTCAAATAAGCAGTAGACTTCAATATTCATTTTTGAATGTAATAATTGCGATTTCCTCAAGATTGAAATTTTGCTTAATACAAAATGTCTTTCTTGTCTATCTTCTCTTTAAGTTTACGAGCTCAGTTTGGTACAGATAAGAAAATGAATGCGATGCATGGAGCAGACTCGTCAGAAACAGCTGCAAGGTATGTCGTGTGTCAACAACAAAATCTAAAAAGCTTTTACTTTACCCATACTGTAATCAAAATGGTTTTGAAGAAGTGAAATGTTTGAATGTTCCCTTTGTTTAAGTTCTCTTGCTTCTAGTTTTTACACTATTTTTTCTAGTTTTCCTCATCATATCCTTATATTTTATGGAGCAGGTGTTAAATCAATCTATTTATTATCATGCTTATTTGTATCACTACTTTTTTATGATACACTCTCTCTTCCTCCTCTTTCATTCCTCCTCTCTTTGCCTTTTTTCCCCTTAAGGTTTTATTTTATCATTTTTTTCTCTCTTACTATTTATCATCTAATCAATGATCACTGCATTATACCTCGCTGTTTATTATGTAATGTATTTATTTGTTACCTTACAGAGAGCTAGCATTCCTTCTTCCTAACTTCAGCATTCCCCTCGTACCAGGGACTGGTCCTCCACCAATCGTTGAGAAAACCTTGGCTCTTATCAGACCAAGCGCACTCAAGGACCATAAAGGTATCAAGTCTCTAATTTATTCATCTTCACACTTTCCTTTCTTTCTTCCCTTTTAAAATGAATACCTAATTTGAAATATCCTCTTTAGCGGTATTTTGGGATTCATTTAAATAACAAGAATGTAACCTGTGTATTTTTCATATACAATGTAGATGGCTTTTGTCAGAATTTTGTAAGAAGACATAGTCAATGCAATATGCGCTATAAGGGATTGAGAAAATGCTAGGATATCAGTTTTCAAGTATTTTGACTTCACTATTTCAGTCCTTTTCAAAATTAACAGAATATCATACGGAATGAATTATGACTCATTCATCATATCTTGGTCCGCTTTCATGATTTTGAATTTTAAAAATTAGTATCCGGATAAAGGCAGAATTACTTTGGAAGTGCATAGAGATGAAGTTTCAATGTGCTATATACAACAGGAAGCAGATGATGATGATGATGATGATGATGATGATGATGATGATGATGATGATGATGATGATGATGATGATGATGATGATGATGATGATGATGATGATGATGATGATGATGATGATGATGATGATGATGATGATGATGATGATGATGATGATGATGATGATGTTAGATGATGATGAAGATGATGATTATGATGATAATGATGATGACGACGACGATAATGATAATGATAATGATGATTACATTTGTTATGATACAGATGAAATGCTGCAGAAGATTCAAGAGGCTGGGTTTGAGGTATGCCTTCAGAAGATGGTTCAGCTAACAGAGGAACAAGCTAAAGATTTCTATAAAGAGCAAGAAGGTACCGCACACTTTGAAGATCTCATCAGGGAGATGACAAGGTATGCCACTTCTGTTGCAGATATCTAAATTTATTCACTTATAATTTAGAGATATGGTATCTTTATTTATCCAAAAATAATTAAATAGTTGGTATTGAATGAGAAGAGATTGGATGGTCAAGTGGATATGTTGCCAAACATGAAAATCCATGGAGCACAGCTGTAGAAAGAACATCTTTTAGTAAGATATTGTTATGTTGGAATTGTGTTCACCCAGTTGGATGTAAGGTAGGACTGCTTTATTCACCATATATGGACATTAATTTAGCTCAAAATGAGTGTACTAATGGGGAGCTTTTGTTGTAGAAGATGTGAGTATTTGGAAAGGAATGGTGCGTATTACATCCACATAGTATGATGAGTATCATGTACATGTAATAATGCAATGAAAGATATCTGAGAATAGAAGATGATTTTAATTGAAAATGACTGATGGCTCATGAACATAAAAGAAGGAAAATTCTTACTTCAGTTGTTGTTTTGATCAGGGATGCCAGTTTTCAGGCAAAAGCCTGAATTCAGGCCGTGGCGATTTATTTCAGGCCATAACTTTTTTGTGTACAAAATAGCTCATTCTAGGTGATTTTCAGGCCTTCTGATCAATTCCAAATGGCATCCCTGTTTGATTCACTCTGCAACCTAATTATTGTTTCTTTTCTCCATGTCTCTATACCTCTCTGTTTGTCATCAGTGGTGAGGTTCTTGCTCTAGGTCTTGCCAAAGAGTCTGCCATTCAATCCTGGAGAGATTTCATTGGACCTACCATCATTGATGAGGCCAAGGAGAAGGCTCCTGAAAGGTGAAATCATGCACTCTAAAATAATCACTTACTCTACAATAATCCATATCAATATCACTTGTGATATGAGATCTGCAGCCATATGTAGCGTTATTCAAAGAATTATTGAATACAAAAATAACATAAAGTCTATATTATTGGGGTGATATTAAAGGAGATTGATGTAGCATGATGAGACTACGTGTCTTTCCAGTGGCTTGACTGGGGGCCAATCGGGTATACAGAGCTGCCAACTAGTACGGATTTCCCGTAATTGGTACGGAAATTAACGACCATTACGGAATGTTGTTTAAAATTACGGATTTAAAAAAAAAATTAAAAAAAAATAAAAAAAATGATTTTTTTTTTTTTTTTTTTTTTTTATATATATTTTTTTTCCCCCCATTTTTCCTGGAAGACTGTGTTTTGATGATATGAAACTCATTATTTAACAACTTTGTGTGAGTAAAATCACCAAAAATGTCAGATAATCATGTGTCTGTGCAATGTTGGCGTGCCGTTTTTATTAGAGTCATAGCGCCGCATAGGAAATTACTGATTTATACCCAAAATTACTGATTTTGAGCCTTGTGATTACTGATTTTCGGTTCTGGAGGTTGGCAGCTCTGGGTATAATACGACTACGGACCGCAGTATATATTTATGTGCGTGCCACATACGTGAAACTAATGTGGGAGGAGAACTTTGGCCTGTTTCGGAAACGCTATAGCGCGCCGACCGTTAATCAAGTCCATTCGTTTTCGTGCAGTTGTCCAAAAGAAGTCTTAGATGGCGTTAACCAGTATTTGCCATGCTACACCCCCTTTAATGTCAATAATAATATGGTGCCCTCATGATTACAGTGTACAAGACATTCCGTGTAGCTAGGTCGGTAGCCACATATAGCATTGTTCAAATGATAATTGAATACAAACATAACAAAGTCTATTATGATAATGAGAGTGATATTGATGCTAATAAATGGTGTCTGTGTTTTTTATTGCAGTTTACGAGCTCAGTACTCAGTCCCAGATACTCAAGTGAATGTAGTCCATGGTAGTGACTCTGTAGATAATGCAGAGAAAGAACTCGGGTTCTTCTTCCCCAAACAGAGCACATTAGCTGTCATTAAACCTGATGCAGCTGGAGAACATAAAGGTGAGATTGTCTTTTTGTTAACAAATTTGTCCTTTCTCTCACTTTTTTAAAATAAAGAATTTGTTTATCTTGAGCAGACATATTTTTCGTAGTGTTAGCTAGCAATGAAGACTTATTAACCCATACTGTATCAGGAGGAATATGTCTGTATCTCAGACAGAGATGTATAATTACTTTTCCCTTAATTGTCAACTTAATATTCTTTAAGTATGACTATGTACTGACAACAAGATGGGAGCTGTTTGTGTATAATTGTTATGTAGCAAGGCTGTAGCTACATGACAAGTAACAAATTTTGAATTCTCCCTGGAATATTTTGTACTTGCAATAGTCAAATCTTGACAGATATTGTAGTTGTTTCCATATTTTCTAGTCAAACATTTAAAGTTGTAAGTGAATCTGTTTAAATTTGTTTTGTTGTGTGGTGTATATGCTGCATTCAGTTTTGACCGGTATCACATTTTTGTTACACCTTACAGAGGCCATCATTGAGAAGATCAAAGAGGCAGGATTTAACATCAGTCTTCAGCGAGATGTTGAGCTGAACAAGGAGCTGGCATCTAAGCTCTACATGGAGCATGAGGGCAAGGAATTCTATGAGAACCTCATTGAACACATGTCAAGGTACATCCAGTGATTTCTGAAGATTTCTTGAAGAAGTTCTCTGCTTTAAAGCATGAAAACATCAAAATTTACCTAGCTTATTTGATTTTTGACTTTGAACTCATGCAAACGCTTCCTGAAGACATCCAGAGAACCTTTTGTTTGCGGCACTAATGTCCTTTGGCAAGACATTGATCTACATTTGCCACACTCAACCCAGGTGATGTAAATGGGTACCTGGTAGGAATTAATTCCTTGAAATGCTGGAGTGCTGTATAAACGGCAGCTAGGCTAAAGCCGGGGTAATGATAAATGCGCCTCGGAATAGAATTATCTAGATAGACTGCGCTACAGAAATGCCTATTAGTATTATTATTAATGGTTCTTGTTCTAGGTCTTGTGCAACCATATATTCATCTTCCTCAATTTGTATGTAGACACATCACTTATGGATAGTTTATTCTAATAGAGTGTTTACCTCAATCACAGCTGTATTTTAATATTTGGTATTTTTTAAATTGTCCTAGTTCTGTGCCTGTTGCCCACTGAGTACTTTTTAATAGGCAATGGCATGTATTCATTTTCAGTATACATATATTGAAAATAATCAGACTACCTGTTGGTGATTTTAACTGAGAAATTCCATTCTACACATATCTGAGAAGGAAGTAATTCCCAAATGTCATAGCTGATTTCTTTTTCACTTACTGCTGTGATGATGCAGTGGTCTATCAATGGTGATGGTGTTATCCCGCGAGGATGCTGTTGACGGCTGGAGAACCCTGATGGGACCTACAGACCCTGACTACGCCAGGGAGCATGCTCCGGAGTCATTGAGGGCACTGTTGGGTAAGGACGTCATGCAGAACGCTGTCCATGGCAGCTCTAACCCAGAGGAAGCCAAGACGAGGATTGAGAGACTCTTCCCTGATGTGGAAGTACTACCTGGGGGAGAGGTCAAAGGTGAGTGCATGAGGTCAAAGGTTGTCATCTAGACATCATTATCTATTTTGATGCAGTGCCCTCAATTTTAGGCTTTGCAAAATGCATCTCAGATATGTTTAAGAAACCTGGAAACATGCACCTTTCTCATTGATATCAGTGAATTGCTTTCCCTTTGTTTCCCTTTCTCTACAGAAGGAGACAGTGACAGTATATATATGTGCCTTACAAGTTACATGTATCAGTAGCAGTTCTCTATTGGATCTGCTGAATAAATCATTTGCTGACTGAATAAAAACAATTGCAGCTGCTAATCAGATCTTCTTCTATTTTTTTTTGGGGGGGGGGGGGCCATGCTTTTTGAGGGATGATGGTTAAGTTGTTTACTTCATTCATATGATTATCTTTGAGATGAGATTATCTAGAATTGATTTAACATGATGATTGCTGTCCGTTCATTTTCAGGGAACTATCATTATATCAATCCTTTTTTTTCTCCATTGGAATATAGAAGCAATGGTACAAATGCTCTTTTTAAAATGACTTAAATATAGATCAAAATGGGAGCAAATATAGTACATATAAATGCATGCTGGAGTAGATTTACAGTTAGTTCCCCTGAGTTGGTATACATTGTAAGCAACATTTTTCTTATACTTGTACTAGACTCCTTAACAAGTATCTCAATGGAGCAATCTCACGGTGAGATACATATACTTCCATACGACACTATATTCAGTCAAATTCAGTGTTCATTGCCTTCACAGACTTTCCATTTTCTATGCCATCTTTTTTGCTTAGAAATTTTTCATTAGCTTTTTGTGTTAGTTTGCATGCTGAATTTAAAGCTTTATTTTTTAGTCTTCTTGAACATTCTCCTATATGTTTAGCTGATTATTTTGGCTGTTTGATTCTTTTGGATGTTTGTCATTTTTGTTAACCTGTGTGATAATGCCACAAGTATTACATTTTCCCTTCGAAATTATTGTTTTTTGTCGATCTGTCTCTCTCTCTCTCTCTCTCTCTCTCTCTCTCCATCCCTTTCTTCCTCCCTCCCTTCCTCCCACTCTTTCTCTATTTGTTGCTAAAGTACAGAGAGATTCTTCAGCTCATCTTGTTTTTTTTAATTCATATATTATTACTCTTCTGATGTGCATGCTGAACCCCAATACCAGTATAAGCTTGTGCTTTCTTTCTGTTTTCTTTTTTCTTCTTTTTTTTCTTCTTCTTTTTCTTCATCATATTACTTTTCTATCTCTTGATCGTATCACGAAAAAGAACTTGTTGTGTAAATGTCAAATTCATTGTAGCCAACGGAATCAACATTTCTTATAAATTCTCATAATTTCAAGATTTAGAGTAATTTATATGTAATTAGTGATCTTCACTTACACCAAATCAAGGAGTTGGATACATAGATATACATATTTTTGAATCAGTGTACTAGGTACTGTCATTCTTTTTTGTTGTTTTAACCAATTGTTAGTATTAATACAAGAATAAACCTATTTTGTTGCTTTGCACAACTTTAAAGTTCTTTGAAGTTTAAATTGAGCATTTATTTTGTTATTACTGCTTCATGGCTGATAATGGCTTATATATATTTATTTATTAGGTTTATAATATTTATTTTTGAAACGTTCATTAATAGATACTGATCATTTTTCTACTTTTTCTTTCATTTTTCAAACTTCTAGTGAAAGGAGAAGAAGGAGAAGGTGATTTTCGTTGTGTTTTCAAATTACTTAACAAATTACTTAACAATTTTGTGAACCTGCCATTTTTTATTCATACTTAGAGTACAGCAGAATGTAAAGATCATGTTATTCTGTAAAATTGTAATTGTTTTGTGGAGAAAAGTGTTCCATGGACTAGAGATTATTTGTTCTTGTTCAATATCTAGCATGGCATTCAATAGCAAGGCACTCATTTTGTACTGCTTCAAGGATGATTGTGATGATAGGAATGGGGAGGGCACTGGTGTTGATATTTATAAGGAATATGTACTATTTTCTTTAAATGCAGTAAGGTACGTTCAACATGCAACAAAAGCACACTTAAACAAGTCTCAGATTTACAGCAGAAGGAACACACAATGGTTGAATTGTAAATCAGAATTTCAATTCAATTCAAAATAATGTAAAGGGAAAGTTAGTTGTCATTTAAAATTCATTAAAGAAAAGAGAAGAAATGAACATTGATTTATATGAAGGATGATGATTCACTCTTCCTTATGATGTGGTTATGTTGCTTGTTTTATTTCCCAAACACTTACAGAGGGAGGAGAGCAACAGACAGAGCAGCCAGCAGGAGAAGGTGAAGAGCAACAAGCGGAACAGCCTGCAGGTGAATCAGGTGAACAACAAGCAGAGGGAGGAGAGGCAGCTACAGAGGGGGCTGAGCAGCAAGCAGAACAGCCACCTGCTGAAGGAGGTAATGTCTCTGCTCCAATGAAAATTCTTTGTTTATTTGTTTGTTTTACTTCATCAAGTGTTTTTAGTTTTGTTCTGTTTTTGTTTTGTATGTTTGTTTGTAGTTGTTATGAAGTATATGTTGGCCACCTCAGACAAGTTTACATTCTGTCTAACAAGTGCAACAGACACTTGATAACCATGATTTTTAATGAATAATTAATTATTTCTCAATAATTGCGATTGCAAGGCATGTTCAAGAAATGTGCATGATGCATGTAATATTCTATTATGACAGTACTTCAGAAGACAGTAAACATTGCTTGTTTCCAAATCTCTACATAAGTTATGTGTGTGAAACACATGTGCATGTTTTTTTTGTTTTGTTTTGTAACCAAATGCATGTGTCTCTGTATTGCACCCTTTGTGTCACTCTAACTTGCACTGAATATAAAGAAGAAGCGGCACAACAAAGAGAAGAGGGTGGAGAGACAGAGCAACAAGCAGAGGTCAGAGAAGGAGATGGTAGTGAGACCCAGCAGGTGGAGGATGGTCCTAAGGAGGATGGTCCAACGGAAGATGGTCAAACCCAGGAGGATGGTCAAACCCAGGAAGCGCAGGCTGAGCAGCAAGTGGAAGATGGGAAGACTGGAGAAGAGGCTGCAGAGGAGGAGAAGGCAGTGGATGAGGAGGCCCCACCCACTGATGCCCAAGAGGGACAGGCTGATGGGGATCAACCCCAGGGAGGTGGGGAGGAGAAGGAGCAGAAAGAAGGGGGCGATGAAGGTACCTAGCCAAGCTTGGTGTCCAGGAAGTCTTCTGCATGCATTCTCTCTCCAGCTTCAATATAGCATTCATGATACTTTCCTCCTTTCTGTTTTGCTTTTTGTTCCATTATTACTAACATGACATTTGCATCTGTGTTACTTTTTAACAAGATAATCATTATTTCTCTTTGATTGAGTCTTGACAATCTTTCATTGCATCCAGCTACATTCATATATCCTTCATTCAGTCATCTTTGAATTACATAATACTCCTGTTGAAAGTATTTTGTGACAATTTGTTTGTATTATTCAGCTTTCTTCTGTATAATTTCAATTCAATTGTAATAATTGGTTTGAATTGTTTCATTTTTTAGGATGTTTCATAATCTAATGTATTCCATTTCAGCGATCATTTTATCCCTTTGTTCTATGGGGGGTGGGATTCTTTGACAATCATAATTTTTTTTTTTTCATCTTTTTTCTGCTTCTTTCATACTCTTGTTTCTATATCATTTTTATTTTCTTCAACAAAGTGTTCTTAATATATCTTTGTCTTTAGATTCATAATTTGTTCCTTAAAATGATTTTCTTTCATGAAAAGATTACACAAGCTACATAAACCCTATAATTGGTCTCCTTTTTAGCCATCTTTCTATCAGCCGTACCCTGAAATACCTTTTGAAAACCTTCTAGTCAATTAATTTACTTTGCAGGTCTTTGTTCATGGTTCAAAATGTCACTAATTGTCGGTTTCATTTAGGATTTGGGCCTTAGAAATACCTCAAAAATTTACTGAACAATATAAAAGGTCAACATCAAGTAAACTTCATCCTAATCTAGAAGTTTGATTGCTATTTGTTGTGAGTGATGTATTTCCTGATGATTCCTTGCAAACAGGTGAGAAACCAGCTGAAGAAGGTGAAACTCAACAAACACAAGAGGGTATGTTCCGCTGATCTACATTTAATCACTCATTCTCTCTAGAGACTAGCACCAGCAAACATCAGATCTTTCTTTGTTTGCTGATATTTTTTCCTTCTGTTCTTGACTCAAGTATTTTTTTCAAGTTTAGTAGTTCTGGCACACTTGATTTTTTTCAAAAACTATCTAAGAATGCTACTATTATCAACTTTTAGTAAATAGTTTTATGTGATGTCATTTCTTCTGATAAAGCCAGAAATTAACAGTTCTTCTTCATGTCCACCTTCCTTTTTATCCTCAATGAAGTTGTTTTCTTGGTAGAGTAGGATGATTGCTACATTCTTCTGACTAAATGTCTAAAGTATCTGGAAGATAGTTGAATGAATTAATATCGATCTTTGGAGCAATATATAACAAGCTGACTTACGGGGGAGATCTTACTTTGCATGTCTGGTACAATATAGGTATGTATTGACAGATTGGATTTTAATTCATGTATTTCAGTAAATATCCCCATATTACAGTGTGACCTGTACTTTACATCACAAATAGAAATAAAGGACTTATGCAACAGTTGTCATTCTGCAATTGTGCTCAAAAGATGCTGTGTAATTTGGGGTCGGCACAATGTTACCGGTATATCAAAAGACATCGTGCTAAATTGCATTAAAGAGGGTTCTCTATTTTCATAGGATGGTAAAAGCCTGAATGATGTAATTCAGATAATGAGATATTATATTGATTATCTATAGGCGAGGCACCCGCAGCTGAACAAACTGAACAGACACAAGAGGGTATGTGATGCATAATGTAATCATTAATTTACTGCAAAGTGGTCATTACCATGGTTTTTTTACTTCCAGTCTGATTATTTCATATAATAAGTATGCATCTATCTGCTTGAGACACTTTATTTCATTGTAAGCCCCTTCTCTATATCTTTAAAATTATTCCAATAAAAAGCAAAACAGAATTCTTATATTTTTATTATATTTAACACATTTCTTTAGATGGGGGGAATTTTGGAGAAAGAAAAATTATCATTTAGTTTATTTTGGATTGTGGGTCATATTTTGAAGTAATATGAAATATCAACAATAAAAGAACAACATTTTCTACATTTTATGTAAAACGCTCTCTAAAGAAGTTAAATAACTGCATTATATTGTATCTTATCTATCTAGATGCTTAGAAAGTGTATACCATACAGCAGAACACATTCATATATGATTGCACTCACACACACATAGTTACCCTTTTTGTAGTTACTTGTTGGATATAACTTATAATGGCAATCACATATTTATCCACATTACCACCTTAGATAGTTTGTATACTTTACATAAATTAGTTATTCAGAAATCTTACACACTTAACTCACATACTTCCAGTTGTGTATCACAACGTTCAGAATATATAAAGCACAGAAATGTTGTCTATGAGTGAAAATGTCAAAAACAGTGTTAGGCCTATATGTAAACAGATGCTGATTGTAGATCAGTGAGGATGTGTAAATTCACTGTATACTATATATCAATATGTAAAGTATGATTCTGAATAGTTGATTATAAGTATTTCTAATCTTATGGATTATGTTTAGGTGAAGAAGAGAAGCCTGCTGAAGAAGCTGCTCCTGCCTCAGAGGGTGAGAATAGACATCATGTTTATTCATCATACTAATGTTTATTCATTAACCCTAATATTTATTCATCACACTAATGTTTATTCATAAACCCTAATTTTTATTCATCAGATTAATTTGTATTCAGCAGGTCCATGTTTATTCATCAGCCCTACCTGTTGTTCATCAGACTTACTAATTTTTCATCAACTAAGGCTTATTCATCATCTTAAATGCCATCAACTAATACTGATTATTTATCCGTTCTAATTTATATTCATCAGACTAATGATTATTCATTGGTTTAATGTCTATTCATCAAATCGTTCCTGTTTTCACGAAGTGACGGTAGTGAGGAAAATCCGCCCGCAAATTGTATGGGATTATCATTCACTACCGTCACTTCATGAAAGTAGGGACGAAATGTAATGCATCACTTATAGCATGAATGTCTGCATTTATCTTCACCAGATACTGAGCCCATTTCATCTGTCCTCAATGATTAATTCATGGTCTGTTTTTCAACTACCGTGAACAAAACAAGAGCTTATGCATCATATTAACTTCATCTCAGAATCATTTCATTTCATTCCATTTTTTGTTTAACCATTTTTTTCTTGTTCCCACTCAGGTTCAACTTTGTTCCATACCTTTAATTTTCTCCTCTATAATAGAAGTTCCCCCACCTTTTTCCCCCTCTCTAGCTACTTTTCATTGCTAACACATATTTAACTTCATACTAGTAAGAGCAACATTATGCAATGAATATCATGCCTGTTGTTTTAGTTTGATAATGGACATCTTTCTAATTCAGGTGGAGTAATCATTGAATGACAGAATTTAAAATTCATCATAACTTTTATTTTCATCATAAGTACCCTTCATCATAATGAAGGTCATTTTGAAGGACTTGGGAGTAGAAATCACTCATAATCCTAATTAATCCTTTGTCTTCTCATTCCTTCCATCCATACTAACCGAGCATACAAACTAACTGCCATTGGTCTCTCACAGAGTCCATTCATTTAAATTTCATGACTAGTTTAATCGACTCACTTATCCAATCATATGTTTCAGTTTGCATCATACCATATGCATTTCATTTATTCAATTGCATACATTGAAGATGTGACCTACATGTTATGAAACCATACTTCTTTTAAAATATTGAAGTCAGTCCTCGGATTCTAAACCATCTGAATTACTATTGCGTTTCTCATCCATAAGCTCAGAATTTGCATTCAAAGCATTTCGACTATGAGTCGTCACTTAGGCCTATAAGCACATTGCTTTTTATTGTCATGGACTGTATTAATCACATGGCATTTTGGGGAGCTGTATGTCAAGGCAAAATTGAAAAAAATGTTGGGACTTTTGGTAGTAAAAAAAAAACCTGTTAGATTAAACACTTAGATGTCATGAAATGTAGTTTAGATGAAAATGAAGAAGTAAAATGGAATTATATTCATGAAAAATTCATTTTTTTTTAAATTATTTTTTTAATAAAATGAGGTAAGAATTAATATTTGAACTGGCAATGATTAGAGTATGTTTGGAGCAGGCTTCATCTTAATGGTATTGATGGTATATTGATGGTACATTGATGGTATATTGATGGTATATTCTATTATTTTATTTTAGAAGCAGCAGCGGAGCAAGCACCTGCTGCAGAGGAGACTCAGGAAGGAGAGGAGAAGAAAGAAGAACAGACACAAGGTAAGATGGTAGACAGGAATGGAGGAAAGTGGAAAGGAAGGTGTGGTTAAATATTATGGATAGAGGGATAGATCAAAAGAATGATGTATAAATTGAATAAGAATTGATATATTGCTGACTGTCTACATATTACTCACTGATATTGGATGTAAAGTTGCACTTCATCTGTTCAGAACCAGAAACCTATATCGCTGAGATAATGTCCTTTTGGCTCCAAGCAGGTGACATGTCCAATATTTATCATTAATGACAGAATCGGCAATTTGTAATTTACTTGTGTGATGTAAACGTACATGAATCATGTATACACTAATTGAATCCAAGTTCAAATTGAAGACGTTCTTAATAAAAGCTCGGCTAAAGCCAGGATAATAATACGACTGCAGGCCCCTCGGGGAATAAACAGTATTAATACAGATGAGGCTACCCTGGGTAAACAAGACATATGTGTATTATTATTGTTGCATATTGTTACAAATGTTTATACATGTGTGATATATTGCAAACTACATACAAATAATCGCCCTTAACCTGTTTCCCAGATGCACCTGCAGCGGAAGGTGGAGAGGCAGGAGCTATGGAGGGGGAAGTCCCCGTCACTGAAGGAGGGGAAGCCCTGGCTGCTGCAGAAGGGGAAGGGGATGCTAAGCCAGAAGAGACTGCATCATAAAGAAATCCATCAATCACAAAAACACTCATCCCATTTTCCTGGCAATTTTTATTTGTACCCTGGCTATCTGGTTGTAAGCGCAGGGTTTCAAAAACCATACACAGAACTCATCTTATCAAAACTGGACAAGGATATGATTTACTTGAGATCGGTGTACGTGTATTGTAATGAAGTGCATGTTGCCTGAATTGAAAGCTCTACAAACCAACCGAAGCATTTCTGCTGGAGGATTCCAACATTGTAACAAAGTGAAGAAAAGACAAGTTATGGTTAACTTTTGAGGTGTGGAGGTCAAATTATAGAAGAGTATTCATCTAGTAATAATGTGTATATAAGTGTTTCTTGTTTCATTTTCTTCTCAGTACAAATATGATCTAAGTAAGATCAAAGCAAATTGAGTGTTATAAATACCTTCTTCCATACTCTTGGTTGATTGTGAGTAGGATTTCATATTTGCAAAGTACAATTGTTATGTAAGTAACAATATTTAGAAAAGCCGTTTCTGTACTGTTTTAATACAACTTACTCTCATTCAAGACAAAGTTTACTGCTCTTCATGTCATCACTTGAGCAATAATGCTGATTCCATGATGAAGAAAAGAGAATTCTGAGTTTCCTGTTTAGTACATGCTTTGGAGCATGGAAGCAGGAGCTTGGAATGTAAGAAAGTCTTGAATGAGAAGGCTATATTAAGGGAAGATTCTTAAACATTCCTTTTCTGCTGCAGTTTGAAGTATTTTTCCTCATCATTTCATGAATTATACTCTCCACCCACTTTAAGAATTACAGTACTATTGTGCAGGACATAATATTCAAACGATTGATACAATAATATGATATTTTTAAAAAAATCATATGATTCTATCACCAATGAGCTCTCTTGAAATGAATACACATGGCTTGCTGTTTAGTACATATGTAGATCATATGGAAGCACAAGTCAGTGTAATAGCTCTAAATATATTAAAATGAAAACTGTTTTAACTTTATCAGCAGTTCAGAAATTTATCATCACATTACCGATATGTCTTTACTCAAATTTCCGTCCTTTCCATTTAAAGCTATTCAAAATACTGAAGATTTATTTTATGTTTATATATTAACATTGTCTGAGAACTGTATTTTATATATGAAGAAAGCAATACAAAATAATAAAAGAATTTAAAAAAGGAAAGTAACCCATTGTCCATCTCATACTTGTTGTATAAATGGGATATGATTTTGTATATGGATGTACACGTACTAGATTCCTGGGCTGGTACAATAGATGCTACAGTACATGTATATGTACCAGTTTATTGTTGTCCCATATCTATAAATCAACTGTGACCACATTTTGGAGAAGAGAGTTGCATTTAGGGTATAAAATATTAGAAATTTTCCTTCCACCTTCCACATGTAAATTCTAAAATCAAATCTGAAATAGTGGGATATTGTAAGCCTTCCCAGAGAGAGTAAGGACCTGATTAGACATATCAGGGACACATGGGTTTGGTCTGTTAAATTACCAAATTTGGAATTGATTTGGCAATTTTTTAATTTTTTAAAATCAAAATATGCATTGACTCACTTGACCAGTCAACCTCAATATTAGATTTGACCATGGTCATCTTGCAAACCACATGCTAATTTGTGTTTCTCCCAAAATTGAAATTGTGTCATAGTTAGATCATTTAGGGCCTGTAAAGAGGTTGAGTGAAGTGGCAGTCCTCTTCATGACAGATATTCCTGACCAAAGAAAGGAGGGATGTAGAGGAAAAGAGATTGAGAAAGAAAAATATTGACTGAGAGTTGGAGACCTATAACACTAAAGAGAGGAAAAAGCTAGAACAGAAGAGAGGAAGAAGAGAGAAAAGGATAGACGATAGATGATTTAAAGAGGGGAAGGGGAGATGAAGAGGATGTATGTATACGTATAGGTGGGAGAGAGGACAGCGATGGGAAATATTTTGTAATGTGATCGCAAAACAGTTTTTTAGGGAAGATCTGGCAAGCATGCATCTACTATTAACTCCTTAATGTTCACTTAACCGACAGGAACATTGAAAAAGTGGCCATCTAAAACATACTGAATTACGTGACTATATAGAGACTGAGGTAATTGTATCAAAATAGGTTTTCTTTTCAGATATCATCATCTGCTGAGATATATTAAGCCAAAAGGGTGTTGACTTTAGGATGAAAGATTTGTTCACTAAATGCCCCTCTGGGTTTCGGCAGATGATATACAGTACACATTTTTTTTTTTTTTTTTTTTTTTTTTTGGGGGGGGGGGGGGGGTCACATTCTTTCTTCACATAGAATATACCCTATCAGTTTATGTGACAATTGAGGTTATAATTGCAGGCATGAATAAAGTATAGAAACGCCATGTACGGGTGCAACATACTTCTTACCTTTAAAACATTTCAAGAAAGTAAGATGAATGAAACATAAAAGATGGAAGGGGCATAGAGAATGATAAGGTTTCAATAAGATTATTAAGATTATGTTTTCCCCGAAAAGTCTCATTCTCTTCAAGTAGTTATGCTCTGGGTTTTCATGACTATTCACGTCCTTAACTGTATCCATGATTTGAACTACAAAATGTATGTACGACGGCGACATATTCTTAAGGCTTTAACGTTTTCAGTAGAGTTGGATGGATGGAGGATGCGATGAGGAAGGGGTGTAAGAGGAAGGAATGAAAGGTTTTTGAAGAGGATCTATAAGATGAACTGAAGGCTATGAGTATCATGTAAACCACAAAGCCATCATGTCTCACACGTGATTAACCACAAGATAATTGACGACTTCCCAATGAAAGGATAGGAGAGATGGTTTATCTTCACTAACAAGGCCGAGGAATCATGCCCTATGGAAGAAGGTGAGGACTGTGAGGTATCTGATGATGATGTAGCGCTTCTTTTGAAAGGTCAATAGAAAGCCAATTTCTTTCCATTTATGCGTTTCAAACAGGAATGGGATATTTTACTTTTTCCAATGTATAAGCACGGATTAAAGACCTTGTCATATATAACCCCTGCTTCTTTTCCCGACAGTAGTTCTATGCTATTATTTTTTACATGTTTTTTAGTGTTATAACATTTCTTTGATCTCTTTCCATCCTTTCAAATGTCATGGCAATTTTTTATCAAAAATGATTTTCCATCGCTCTCTTTTTCTCTCTCTCTCTCTCTCTCTCTCTCTCTCTCCCTTCCTCCCGCCCTCTTTCTTTTCCCCTCCCTCCCTCTGAGTCTCTCCCTCTCTCTCTTTCTTTAATATTTTCTGCTTCTATATATCGCTTTCTGAATTATCTCCAAATTATGTTAGCTTCTGTCTCTATTTTATTACCTGTCTTGTTTCATTCTCTATTGCCCCTCTCTACACCGGTGTCTCTTCAGTTTTTCAAAGAAATTTCACAAAAAAAGACAATATACACCAATGTACTAGAGTTGTGAGGTACATGTTATGAGAATCATATACATATACCCCAACTCCTTATAAAAGGCGAACCATCATTTTCTCAAGAAATTCCCATGCTGAGTTCTCAAATCTAGAAATTACAATGACACTACCAGATTGAATCTTTGCATCTCACTGCTTTTCATGGCAGTACTCCATTTTATTTAAAAAAGCATACCTAAAAATATTGTTTTGATATGATAAAAATATAAAGCGACTTTCAAGCTACACATTCTCACGTAGCATACAGAGTGAATAAGAGTGAAGATTATGCGCTGAAAGCCATGAGGGCTTGAAAGATAGTTTTAACCATTTTTTATTGCAGAAAACGCACATATAACTCCTAAGGAAATGGATTAATCATACATGTTTTACAGATCTGTGTAGAAAGAGTTGATATTACATTTTAACAAGACAGATACTTGTCCATTACTGAGTAGCCAATAAGAAGTGTAAAAATGTCTTTGGTTTTATCATGAAACTCGTGATTTCTATGCTGCAACATACTCTATGTAGTTCATACAGCATTCCATGAAATAGTTTAAGCATACAATATCTTGTAATGCAATAATAGGGAGTTCACATACCAAAAACCTTAGCCATTTTCTGCGGATTCTAAGCTTAGCAATCAGTAAACATGAGCCAATTTTTGAAAGTCCATGGAATCAGTTGTTTTTCCCCTTTGTCTAAGTAATCTAAAAACATTGCTCAAAAGAAAACAAAATCAGATGAATCAGCCAGTGTATTTACAGCTTTCCCTTTTTGACACAGTTTAAAAATTATCATTATCACCATTTCATTTTGAGATATCAAACAGTTTACATAAATCTCTCATGATAAAGACACTTCTATTAAATACATCTTTGTGAGTTAATGTTGCAATCAATAATTTAAAAAGTCCATTACCAAATGCATTGAGTTTTTATGTATGCTCTAGAGTTATCATAACAATCTAAAGCCATTACAAGATATTTCCACATTGTGGTAAAGAGTACCGGCTCTAAATCTTATTAAAAAGTATATCATATGTTGAGTAAGAATACTGCTTCTTTGAAAGACATTAAAAGAAAGATTTTTGTTTTTAATTGCCACATCATGAAATGTCCTCATGTCTACAATAACTTGAAATGATTCTCTTCACCAAATCTGTATTAGGACCTGTATTAAGTGCTTTAACTCACCTCATAACTTTCAAGTTTAAAGTCCACATATTTGAAAACATCAATTCAGTATTTAGAGCAGATTCAAAGAGTTGTTCAAACATCACCTACTACTATATTAGTATTTAACAAGAGCATGATAAAAGCAGTTAATGTCACATAAAACCCTTACATGTTCATTTTACCTGTACAGTTTATCTATAACTGAAGGCACATTATTTTTAAAAGTAGCAAATTCCTTAACATACTGGGTATATGAGATGTACATTATTTGTATCAAAATAAAGATACTTCAAGCTGTGTATAGGCTATCAATGAGATGACACTAAATCATGCAAACCTTTCTTTTTCATTGCATAAAATATGGGGTGTTTTATATAAAAATATTTTGCAGATTTCAAGTATATACAAAAAATAGCTCTGAGCACATGGCATACAAAACGTAGGCTCAATTTGTACAAGAATCGTATTCTAATAGAGTGCATGCTACTTAGACCTACATGTATATACATATATACTGATATACATATCAGAGTTTACAAGAAATTTACATAGCATCACACACAAGTGAATATGAACTAACCACCATGCCCATAAAACTCACTGAACCATAATTTCCAAAGGCATACAGCAAAAGTCTTAGAATAAACTAATTTTGGGCATTTCGTTTGTGATATTGTTCGAAGTTTAATTCATAATTTGTATTCATGACTGGCAAAAGTATTGACTTAGTTTTTATCTCAATCTGGACCATGTTGCACAAAACATACCATTGATGATACCTTTGGCATCTATAGTAACTGCCATGGAAGCCTTCATTTGATTGGCTGTTGCGTGATATCGCCATGGTATTTATTAATGATAGCAATGTTACCATCAATGGTAAGTTTTATGCAATGGGACCCCAGGTTGTAACCTGGTTATACCACTTTCATGAATATAGATAGACCACTAGTAATCATCTCAGTTTAGTCCTGCCATACAAATAATTTACAACTTCCAATTTTCCATGAAATATTCCAAATGTACAAACATAGTGCCTATTCTTGAGTATGGTCACTAAACAGCCCAAATATAGAACTTCAGGTAGGCACACATGTACTTTTTATCAATAAAATATTAAAATATACTGCAAAAATATATTCATACAAAATACTGTACTATGATATTACTAACTACATTGCACAAGATATTCATGCACATGTAGCAGCAAGTTATGTCAAATATTTCCCTTTTTTGCTATGAGAAGCAGCAAATGTATCAATAATGGGAGTTCATAATGCAACTGCAATAACCTTCTTCAGGTGGCACTTAAAAGTGATACTGTGTTCTACCAATTTCATCTAAAGGCACTGGGATGATATCCTAGAAGGAGCATTCTTTGGTTCATATAATTGCAAATGATCAAAAATCAAAATCAAAACGAAAATTTACCCGCTGCCTACATGAACCAGTTGGTCACTGTATAAAACTTATGGAGGTTCAAACAGCATTCAACATTATAAAGCAATACACAACTTGGTAAACTCACTAATTTTACCATACAGAAGTTGATAGATAATGAAAAAGAAAATATAACAATGATATTTCACTACCGTTTCTGTAATAATACAATGATTTACGATCTTGTTTTTATGGTCAGTGGTTGAGGGACTTCATAATATTTGCCTCAATTGCCTATTGATAAAAAGAGTAAATTGAAAGTGAAAGTGAACAGGGCCCATTGTTCAATGTAAATGATCAATATGGTAGAAGTCCTTTAGTTGAAAAGTTTGCCATAAAATGATTTCCTCATAACCAATCCATCATGTATATATTTTGTCACTATACCACGCCAAATAAATGATTATCCAGTAAGATAAAATGACTAGTTAAATTTGTTATACCTGTAAAATAGCGACTACTGTACAAACAGAAACTTACTCATGAATGGAGCCACATGTCAAGTTTATAAATAGTCTAAATTTCAAGCGCTTCATGCTGAAAATTACTGAAACACAATATTTGCAATTCATAATAGTTCTTGTAATTGCAAATTGCAAAGTTTCATAAGTTACATAAGGTTCTCATTTTACTGTGTGCACTGAAAGTATGCAGTTATGTAATTGAATCCACTGACAGAGGGAAGTCCCTGACTCATGAGAAACCCCATCAACAAATTTTCTCCGGGCTATTCTGCCTATTAAAGGCAACTTTGCACAGCTCTCTTAAAGCTTATCTGAGAGGATAATGGGGGACCAATGGTCACTGATTAGGCATTGTTTGTTATATAGAGGGCGCAAGTAGCTACAAGTAGTGCAGGGGGCCTTTAAGGACTTGTCTGTTTCTTTGGTCAAACCTTACATCCAACGAATCCTCTGCTTTCCTCTTCTTCCTTTACACTGCGCTTTGCCGAGTATGATGATAAACTGCTGTGATACAATGTTGAATAACTTTTCATTGAGCGAGGCTTGGAAACGGCACTACTCATTAGAGAGTTATGTTTACTGAGCACTCTCTCTCTTTTTCCTCTCCACTCTCAGAATGTAGGAGTATGCAGATTCAAACTGTATGACGGCAAATCCAATCTCTCCTTTGTCCAGGAAGTCAGGAAGGAAATCCTCTAAGAATCGGAGTTGTGGGTAGAAAGCCGTGACCTCTCCAGGGTCACCATGTATCAGGAAGAGAATCAGAGATGTAAGCAGGTCATCACCACTCAACATGCGCTGCTTACCACCTGGATGTATGGAGAGAGAGATATGAGAAATGATCACCACTCTGCTCAATTCAATGCAAGACTAGTTGTTGATGCAATCAAAACAATGATATTTTCACATTGGATTCATTTAATGCACATAATACAGATAAACATAATCATATAATTTCATACAGGATACTGCAGGAGTAAGTGGAATATCCTTTACTTTTAATTGGCAAAACAGTCGGATATCTGAAAGACCATCGCCCATTTCTATTGTCAATTTGTGATTATGTTAACATTACAATAACAGAATCACAAGGTGCTGTTTAAGAATTAGTCGATACATTTGCATAATAAGCAAATGATTCTAATACTAGTTTTGCATGCTGTGAGATACTTACATGATATAAGAGATGCTTGTTTCTCAGCCACAGAGTTGACTTCCTTGAGACATCGAAGCAACCATTGAAGCTTGGAGCATGGAACACTCTCCTCTAAGACCACTCTGAAGTAGTGATAGGCCTGGCTGAAGCGTTTCAAGAACTCTGAGATAGCTGGCTTCTCCCTGCATCGTCTTGAGAGCTCTCTGTCTAGTTTGATCTCTCCATCCACTCCTTGGATCATGATGTTCACATCCATGTCATTGACAGGATCATGGCTGCTAGATGTGATTGACATCTTCTCAACGTCTGACGCAGCGTCTGAGGATATTACTACCTGCGGGAAGGTGGATGCGTCCATTGATGGGTTGGAGCTACATAGATCAGATGCACTGAGAGGTTGTGATACATTGGATTCCACGCTCATAGCAGTCCTTGAGCTATCTGTTCTATTGAGATTGGAATTATGATCACCTTTCTGACTGTGTCTGTCATCGTCATGGTGATCATTGAATACACCCGAATCATCACCAATGTGATCGTCTAAGTGGCTAGACTCTTTCTTGAGCAGAGGATGTGGTTTGTCCAATACCTTATTTAGGAATAGGCTATGCGGGGAGTACTGTTCAACGGCTATATGTTTCAATTGCTTGATTTCAGGTAGCGAGGCATGTCTTGCTGCTATCTCATGGTCTCTGAGCTTCACACTCTTTTGCCTCAACTGCTTCTGGACGATACAGGGTTCCGACTGCGCACTTTCAATGTTGATCGGCACCGTCACCCACTTACAGTCTATGATCTGTGTGTTACGCCATGATTGCCTCGATTCACCTTGCCTATGAGGGCTTGCATGGCGTCGTAATCTCTCCTCGGGGAGATCAACATCCACCCCCGATTCTAACCTCCCTCGAATGTCTTCGTCTATATGAAGTCTGTGTTTGACAAAGTCACCCAACCCTGACACTGATGCAATGTCTGTTAGTCTGTCATCATGATCCTGCTTCTCAGACTGCTTCTCAGGTTCTATGACCTGTTCTGTGACATCCTCACCGATCTCAATGTCATCATGGATGTTGAAAATAGGAGCATAGAGTCCGAGGATGTTGAGAATCCATTCATCGTCTAGTTGCATGTCTTGAAGGTTGGAGGTAGGCAGGATCTTCTGAAGATCTGCTATCTCAGCCTGATAGGCATACTGCAGAAAAATGAAAAGAAGATGGCGTAATTAAGGGCGAGATAAAAGGTGTGGAATGAATTGCATTTTGGGTTCAAATTCATGAGAAAGACGAGGTGCAGTTTGAGTATGACGATAGTCAGTGTCATAATATCAATGTGAAGATGATGATAATGATGATAATGATCGCAATGATGATGATGATGATGATGATGATGATGATGATGATGATGGCAATAATGATGATGATGATGATGATGATGATGATGATGATGATAACGATAATGATGATATTGATGATGATGATGATGATGATGATGATGATGATGATGATGATGATGACGATAATGATGATATTGATGATGATGATGATGATGATGATGATGATGATGATGATGATGATGATAATGATGATGATATTGATGATGATGATGATGATGATGATGATGATGATGATAATGATGATATTGATGATGATGATGATGATGATGATGATGATGATGATGATAACGATAATGATGATATTGATGATGATGATGATGATATTGATGATGATAATGATGATATTGATGATGATGATGATGACGATGATGAAGGTGAAGATGATGATGATGATGATGATGATGATGACGATAATGATGATATTGATGATGATGATGATGATGATGATGATGATGATGATATTGATGATGATGATGATAAAGATGATATTGATAAAGATTAGACTAAACATCACACCACAACAATTATGTATGCTGCAGCCTAAATGCTCTGTCTAATCAAACTCATTATCACTTACCACATAGATCTTCAGGAACTCTGAGATCTTGCCAGGAAAGAAGGCCCTCTCATAGCATGTCCAAAGATCAGCTCGGCTGTAGTAAAATGGTAGATTCAGATGACTTGCTAACCTTGTTGTTACCTACATGTAGTCAAGGTAAACAAAAATCATGATTTACATGTAAAAATGAAATGCATAACAAATCAAACTACTTATATTCATATCACATAAATGAAACAGTTACAGTTCTTGCTCAAACATTTAATTTTGATGAAGTACAGCCTAAATTTATACCTCAATAGGTCACACTTAACCTCTCCTAAGAAGTAGAGTCAACATCAATTTTTGTTTTCCGCACTCCTGAAAACGGCCTATTTGACATAAAATGGTCCCAAAATATCAATATCAAACCATTCCATTCCTTGCCTAACACTTGTTGTTTACGCAACTTCAAAATCAAGCTCAAACTCATTTTATTCACAAACTGTGCACAGAAAGAATAAAAAGGACAATGCAAATCTATATATTTTGTGGGATGGCATTTGAAAAACTCACCTCTTGGAAATGCATATTGACATCTGTCTTGAGTCTCTGAGTAACAGCTTGGTAGTGAGCCGTTGGTCTCTTCTCAATGAGACTATGTCGTGTATTCCTCCTCATCTTATCACTTTCATGATTGATGCTAACTCCACTGTGCTTCTTGGCTAGCTTCTAGAGTGATATATGAGCAAATTAGTATGATAGTTATAGCTAAAGATTGTAACTACAAAGTCTTTACCAACATCCTTATTATCAATATTACCATCAACAACGATCACATTATCAATCATTATCATCTTCATCAACAACAACACATCATTATCATCTTCATTACTGATGTCCAAATTCATATAGTGCTGGTTATGATACCAGAAATTTATCTAAATTAATGACCATCCTAATAATGAAATTCAGAGAATATACATTCACTTTAAAAAGTCAAGAAAGTTATAAATTACCTTCCATGAGTTACTGACATCAAGTTTCTGTCTGAATCTCTTGATGGTTGGTTGACCTTTGATCTCTTCACGACACTGATTCACTATTTCTTTACTGAAATCATGATGGAGATCATTCAATGTCTTGTTCTTCTCCAAAGCCTAAACAAAAATAAAACAAATACATGAAAACTGGCATTAATTACAAGAAATCTCATGTTTTTCTTAAATCACAATTTGAAAAAAGTGTTAAGAAGAGGGATAATCTATAAAAATGTAATTTTCTAAATGTAAAGGAAACCTTCATGAATAGTGCACAAAATAGGAGGGGCTTTAACATCATTTTCCAATAAATCCAGAAGTCTCTACTGACTCATATCACTTCCATGGTGCATGCTAAAATAAAAATAAAAATTTTAAAGTTCATGCGAAACAGGAGAGCCAGCCTGTTTGCCAATTCTGAAGGTACAGGATTTCCTTAAGTACAGTACTTGTAATTCATTGCAATCAAAACATTGCTTTGCTTTACTTGGCAACTTTGCTTCATTTGAACAGGATATTCATATGAATGAATGAATGAATGACACCACAACCACAACCAGATCATACAAATTGTTTGTAATAGGATGCCACTTAATAGATATACTGCCGGGAGAGTAAGGAAACTTTCATAAACAAATTTAAATAGCAACAACACCCATTAATTTCATTCATTCTTATATCTTAATCTGCGACATCATTTAAAAAAATCATAATCTCTAGTCCATACATACCTCAGATACTTTACTAGGGAGTGTCTGCCAAGCCTCTGGGAGCTTGCTTGGTCCAAGAACTAAAAAGAAAAGAAACAAGATAATTGTATTACTTGCATAATGATGGAAGCAAAAATCAGCTAACAGATGTTGTAGGAGGATCGTTTAAAAAAGTATAGGTGTTATATCCATATATCATATAAAACCATCTGTTGACATATATGGCATTTCCTCAGTTTTTTAAACGTGACAAGAGACAATGTTTTAACTATATACATTGTGGTGATTACACGCATGCTGTCATGGAGATTGACTAGAATCAAGCCTGTTAGGGAAAAGACATTGGAATAGATTTGATTATGATATAAATGGGAACATGTTCGTACCATCTGTAGATCGTATAAGACCATCTGATGAGATATCTATTCCTGTTGTCTCTCTTCCCTGCTTCAATTCACTCTCGGTTGACACCAGGGCTTCTCGCACGCTTGTTGCTAAAAGCTACACAAGGAAAACAATTTATGAAAGATTATTTGAATGGTTTGAAAATATGTATAAATTACTGACAAGAAAGCATTGTTTATCAGTCTATTTTTGTTTGTTATAGCGCTTAGAGACTTCGGTGGTAAGCGCTTTATAAGTAACGTTTTTATTATTATTATTATTGTTTGAATAAGATATCTCTTGTTAACATATTATCTATAAAAGACAATTCATTTTTCTTTGGAGGTTATTAAAGATTAAGATTTGCATGGTGGTGTGTATAACATTCTTTAGGGTGTGCAGTTTCCCTTTCCTTCATTCTAATGCTTAAATACTTGTCTACTGAACATAATTCAAACTAATCAAATAGGTATTTGAGATTCTTTGTATATCCTTAATTTCTGCTCCTTGTCAATTTATCTCGCCCTTTTCTTCAGATCTAGTCTACAATTGTAGTTCATGCCACTTCTCAATTAAGTCTCTACTTCAACTAAGTTGATATCTATATCCTTAATTTCTGCTCCTGATCTATTTTTCTCGCCCTTTTCTTCAGATCAAGTCTCAATCAAGTCTCTACTTCAACAACGTTAAGAGCCAGAAAGAGATTAGTTTTGTATTAAAGGGATATATGCAACTAATTTCTAGTTTTCAGTGAACAAAAAGAAACACTGCCATCTAGCTTTGACTTACCTTTTTTCTCTGTAGATCATGGAGCTCTTTGCTGTGTCTCTTGCATTCATCTTGGATACGGATGTATGCTCGATGCTGGTCGGATAACTGCACATCATGAAAGAAAAGCACAAGAGATAGATTGGATTGGAGTTCATTATTTTCACTTCCATTGTCAATCAGGTTACAAATACATTGCACATATAACTTTTTTAAAGTCTTGTGAACTTAATATTTGCTTATGGATACACCAAGTATATTTCCAGATTTGTATGAATGAAGCACATGAATAACAAATCAAACATTTCTGAAATAGAAATTATAATGATAGCTGTGGGGCTCTCATTAAAGCATCACTTTGTATTGTCAGGCTTGATCAGTATTCCTTCCATGGGGTAACAATATAGTATTCTATTCAATCTTTAAAGAACATTTCACAACCCCTTCATAGGGTAAAAAAAACTCTCAACTCTGGGCAGTATATGCTCACTTTCTTTAATACCAAGAGTAATAGAGACTGAGTATGACACTAAGCTATAAAATCAAAATATACAATTTCTCTTGTAGTTCACAAGACATCTGTATCGGTGGTTTAATTCCATATCATAAGGAGGTTAGCAGATTTTTCTTTTCCAGTTCGTGTAAATGGCTGACAATGCTTATAACATAACATTGGACTACTTCCTCAGTCAAAACACATCTTACTAAATATGTCAATGTAATGTAGGGAAATACCAAAACACTGCCCACTCAACAAAATAAACATTGTGGCTTGAAGAAAAAAACAATCAAGATGATTCATCAGTTTTGAAAATATCAATTAAATTGCAATAACATCTATACCACCTTCATGATTCAACCCAGTTCCCATAGAAATGAGAGAAAAAAATGCTACAAAAAATTACTATACTGGGATCAGGGGATAAAAGTATCAATGAAACACCTTGCCTCTGGGCATAAAACACTGTCATTGGATTTGAACCCTAAACCTCATGATTTAAGAGTCCTGAAGGCATGAAAACCACTATTCCATATTGCTTATAATGTAAACCCACCTCATTACTCGCTGGTATAGTTTTAATACTGAGGATCAGATTCACTTCCTCCATTACAAACAGTGACTTGTTGATGTAGTCTGCCACCCTGTCTCGAGATTTACGAGCTCTGAAAAAAAAATAAAAGAGATTTGTAGGAGTGCAAATATGCTGGAATTTCATATTTCAATGTCAAAAGTTTGATACAAATCACAGTATTAGGACTATGGTCGTTGGAATTAAATCTTCATATTTTGAGCACTTTCCTATTCCTGTCTACAGTATATATGCTATACAAAGATAAATAAATTATATGACCATACATGAAAAGGCTTTATAATTATATCCAACCAGGTTTTTTTAAGCCTTGACAGTTGCAATGTAATGTGCCACATGGTCCACTTGATTTCTCAAGCAGCATGAAAAACAGCAAAGGTCTAGTTGTCCATCAATCCATCTTCATCCATCTAATTAATTATTTCACTGATTTCACACTTCCAAATGTGGCATATGATCAATCTCTATCTAGTAGGCCCATGGTTCTACCACTAAAGTGTTCTGGTCCGTACATTTTGGTGGATAGTGATTAGTGATGTACATATTATCTGGAGCTACAGGGGCATTATCTTATATACTCTAACACAGAATTAACGCCCATGTGACTTGGAACAGACAATATCAAAGTTGTCTAAGAAAGAAAACCAAGCAAATATAGAGGAAGCATCGTTGAATTGATGTGCTGTCACGAAAGTGAAATTCCTCCCTTTGGAGAATGTCCTTGAAATCCCATACAGAAAGGAAATCCAATATTTAATCATTTTATTTTCAATGAAACATAAGATAATTAAAAAGAAACATATTTTGGTTCCAAAGTATCAATCAAAATATACAATCAAAAGAAGATAAATCAACCAGCTAAAAAGTAAAGATATACAAAGGATAAAACTATTTTATAAGCCAGAAAAAACTGGAAACATTGTGAGATATTTCTTGAAACCATTCCAAACAACACATTTATGTTTCATTTGAAAAATGTATCTGTATTGAATTTCAAAACAGGAAGTACAAGCTCAGGTACATTCTCAATCAGTGAAAAACAAAAAGATTCTGCTATGAGCTACAGATTCAATAAATGTTGATTTGTGTAAAAGAAAGAGCATCGTGCTTAATTTTACTTCACTAAAAATAGCTACTAGATCTCACAAAGAGATATCAGGTATCAAATGTAGAAAGAAATCTGTTTCACTGTAGTTTAGGAAAGGAAGAGCAGTTATGTGAGATTACTGCATCATACTTGTACCGTTTACACACGTATCGAAACATGATTTGAAACAAGATTTTGCTTCTGTTATTGTTGGCTATTTTTAGGAAAGCTCTACTGAGCTTGTCCTTTAGAATAGGATTGCATTGTGTATTGCATGATAGAATGCTTGTAATTTTGACCTAATGATTAAAAAACAAATTAAATTATTTTTTTCAATGCTGAAAAAATGTCATTTTTTCAAGATTGCAAGGGCATGAGTTGAAATATGCAAACTACATAAGCCAAATCATTTTCTTATCAAAATGGTTCAAACCTATTTTGTTATCATTTATTTTGCTTAAGAAAGGATTCAAGACCAATACAGAAAGAAAAATTGATCAGTTTTTGTGTGCGTTTTGGATGAAAAACTGACATTGTGTATTTGGGCGTACATTGTAATGGAGCATACTTGCTAAAAGATATTTGGGTGGTTTTGACATAGGTGGGTACTTATACGAAGCTCAAGGGAGGCAATATGATATTGACTGTGCAGCTTATAATCTTGTATTCGGTCGCTGGATGTGCTTGAAGTGATTTACTTAAATTTACTATATCTGTATAAGTTCCTGGATGGAGAATACCCCACCCCCACTGCCCCCTCCCACTGCCCCCTCCCATTTATATTTCCTACAGCATGTGCTGGGGTGGGGGTGAATTAAGTAATAGACGGTGCTCTGTGATTTGTGCAAGAGAGCAGAATGGAATCATACTCACGGGCTTTCTCTTCTATATCTCCTGAGAAAAGGTGAAGGAGAGAACATATAATGTAAATCCATTCTTCAGCTTGTAACTGCTCTGAAAAGTTTGGTTTGATTATGGCTAACTTCCTCTGAAGTTAATGATAAATTTTTGCTATCAATTCACTAGCACCTCTATTTTTAGGCAACAGGTCAGAAATATGATCTTATTGGTTTCTATTTATAACTTTGTGGGTTCATTGTCATTGAGTGAATGACCTATCTAACTGATCTATATGATTATCAAAATGACAGATTGAAGTTTATGTTGGATTAGAATGATACCCATACCTAATCCTATCTCAGCCAGAGCCTTCTTTATGGAATTATCACGATGATGATAGTATCAATTATTCAAATAATTCAAGTTTCCTGATAGAAACAAAAGACTTCTGCAAGGCCTTGCATTCCTCCCTGAACTCGCATTCCATACAACGCTCTTATTCCTCTTGCCCTGGATCAAATTATCGGCCTTCCTGCTCCCCGAGACATACCTCACAGCATTAAGCAAAAGAAAACGGGTGAAAAGCTGGCTTATCGTTCATCAGGTCCCAGCGCGGAAGCTACGTCCGTTTCAAGAGATGCTATTAATACATCCCAAAGACAGGATAGTGCTTTCATAAATGTTATGAGAACTGCAGTATGAGCTTGTAAGGATGCACATTAATAATGTACATTCTTCTCAGATGGAATGTGATATATAAGAAAGAATGATGATGTGCGAATGATATATGCCTATTAAATCATCCTTAACAATAGAATACATATCATTCATGACATTGTATTACAATCCTCTGAACTCCCAAACATGTGAAATACCATTAGATTTATATACAGACCCAACACAATGTCTTTCAAGCCAATACTTCACAATGGATGATGTTGAACATAAAGGGGGGATCTAATTTGAATTATCAACTTCCATTTCTTATTTAACCTGAATTATCTTCTTTCAGACATTTATATTTTGTCACAGGAAATCCTCATCAGCTATTTCTCTGGCATTGTATCAAGTGATTGAACTAATGAACTAAGATAGTCTTGGCAAGGAGTATAGTGTGTGCATGCCAATCAGCTTTTGCAGTAGTTTATTGTAAATCTACAAACAAAGGAAAGTTCAAAGAGAGAATTATGGTCAAAGGAAGACATGAAAAGGATAAAGTATGTTTGATATATTTTTTTGACCAGGAAAGAAAGAACGAGAAGATAGAGTACAGACAGACAGAGTCTCTGAAAACCTCGGCTAGTGTGAATTCAATAAAATGAAGAAGAGACTGAGGAGATAGACATGTATGTGTTGACACTGACCAAGAGACAAAGATAAGAACCACACCAAAAAGATCGAAAAGTATACTATCTCATTTCGGGCAACAAATCTGACTTTGGACAAGCAGAAACTTTGGAAACTTTGATAAATGAAAATATTGATCATTTTAAAAGCACTGATTCTATCAAAGCCAGAGCTCAATGAATGTATTAAAACAAGAGAGAAAAAAAGATTTTTATAAAGAATTAATAATAAAGAGTAATCGATGTAAGAGATGGAGTCAGAGTGTACAATTTTCATAGATTTTATTCAAGCTCAACATTCCTATCCTGTGTCTGGACAAACTATGTCACCGGAAATCAGTCCAGGATATTATTAATGATATTTGGAACCAATCCACAACTTCCTGCCCCTAACACGTCTCATCGACCAATCGTCAAACTAATACTAATACATGATGATATGAGAAACTTATTACATCATATACTAATATTAGACGTCACATGATACTTCAACTATATTAAAAACAACATGTTTTTCATCAAACTCGGCTAGGTCTCTCTGTTGAAAGGCTATAAGCTGTCCCTCTTTCTATTTTAGGTCATTATTGGAGATGGATAATCAATAATTCATGTTCATTAATACCATCATTCCAATAATAGACAGCATAGAAAAGGAGACAGAAAAAAGAAGAAGTAGGAGTGGAAGTTATGCACAGTGCTCCAAAGGGATGAAATTTAAATTTTTAAAAACATCCCCCACACATTGGAAGTACAAACTAAAATCAGAAAACTAGAATTGCAATACATAACATAAGACTTTTGATTTTAACATTTCTGGTTCAAGACATCCAGATGAGCACTGAGCAATAGGCAATAGTTTAATTAGCATCAAAGCATCGATTCTATCTAACATGTATCTAACATCACACAATGTCATGACTATTAGAAAGAGAAACTGCTATTTATTGAATACTATATTGCTTAGGGTGTGTACCTAATATATCAAACAAAAATAAATGTCTTCCATCAATCTGACATTAAAAGACAGATACTGAAATTAAATTTACGACGATGAAATTGCCTCGTTTATATTCATGGGATAATATTCTGAGACCACGTTTGATAGCTGATGACCCATATTCATCTTGAAAATAGAAAGAGAAATTTAGGTTTTGATTTACAGACAGGATGAGAAGATTTGTTTCCCCTTTCCATCAGACTGCCCCTAGCTCAACCCTACAAACATCCTATATTTTGTGGTTTTCCTAAGAGGTATAGAAGGATCGCTCTGCTTGAACATCTGACAAATGTTTCCTATCATATATCTGTCTCTGACTCTAAACATCTGATTTAGTCATCATTTCATATCAGTTTCACATAATAACACGTCATACAATCAAGGACTCTTCAAGTATTTACAAATTTGAAACATTTCAATATATATATTTGCATTATTAATTATGTGCATGCTTTTAAGATGACTTACAAAGGGTGAGGCATGTATTGTGTACATGTATTTTCCATTCAACGACATAGAATGATATGGAAATTGAGTAAGTGGCCTTATTTGTGGAGAAACAAAATATTGAAGGCAAAATTATGAATTGTACATGAGATATATTATGATCATGATAGATTGGTAAGAAGTAAGAAGTAAATATTCTACTTACTCCACAAGATCACTGATATATTGACTCCCTCTCTTCTTGGTAAGACTTCCCTTGCATTGGTCTACTGTCTCCTGACAACTATCCAACTAAAACAAAGAACAGAAAGAAAAAACAATCTTTATACAACCTTATTATAATTCCTAAAAGACAAGAACCATTTGAAAAGAGCTTTGGGGATCAAGCACCCCCCCCCCCCCCTGAAAAAAAAAAAAATTGCTCCATATATTCTCTGACTGGTCTATACTTTTTTAAAGTTCCATGAAGGGCTAGAACCAACTGATGCCCCCCCCCCCCCAGTCAATAAATTGCCTTCAACCATACTACATTTATGTAAATTTGAGGAACCCAAGATAACAATATAAGGAACTTTGGGGATAACTGAGTCGGCTCTTATGGTCAGGAATGGAGGGGTAAATTCATGTCCGAAACACTGTAGACCTATCACCCATGGGCGAGATCGTGCAGAAAAAAAAACCCAGCCATCTTGTTAATCTGCCAACCAGCGTATCGTAGAATGTTTTGTGTCATTTCCACGGCAACGTAAGTGATAAACACAGCCAATGAGGATGGAGGTATTCATCAAGGTAGACTTTATCAGGCCTGCTCACATGACAGATGTTTGCACTTTGATTGATGGAATTCATGGATCTCTTCTACCCTTATGCACCTATTTTCATGCAAAGCAGTTCAGATGTTTAGAAATATGTGTACAAGTACAGCATATCAATTGGTTGCAAAGAGCATGTTTGCACAATATAGATATTGTTGTCATTTCTTTTTTAAATGATAAATTGATATTTGTAAAAACAATCAAATTTGAAAAATAAATTTGAAAAATAAATTTGAAAAAAGAAAAAAGAACTACATTGTACCGTACATCTATATTAAGTTTTAATAAGATTTTATTATTCTTGAGAATATATGAGAAATAATTTCATACATTTGGACATAACACACTGTTTTTAACTCATTCTTCAATACAGTACATCTTTTTGTAACAATTTTTCCTTCTACGTTAATATACCATTTCTCTTTTCGTTCCTCCCTAAGGTATCCTTTAGTTACTAGTTATTGGTTTTACAAGGCATAAAACTATTTGATCAATTCTTTCTCTTTCCCCTTCTTCATTATCCTTGTCTAATCAAAGATGACACATATCGTCGCCGTTTTCACGAAGTGACGGTAGTGAAAAAAAATTGCATTCACTTTGCGTTACGATTTTCCTCACTACCGTCACTTCGTGAAAATAGGGACGATATACTAGACATGATGTAATTGATTAGGTCAGTGTTTGATCATTAATTCAAAGCATATTGTCGCCAACTCGCCATGCATGGAGGAGAAGGCTAGCTAGGACTAGAGATATTTGTGGTTTTATGATTAATAAGATCTCGTCTACTATTCATTTCCTTTCTGTTTACTGCCAACATGACTCGACAACATGGGCAGCTGCATTGAGCTTTGTTTCACAACCATCTCTTCCCACTCTGTCTCTCTTTCTTCCTTCTTATTTTATCTGCTCCTCTCTCTCTCTCTCTCTCTCTCTCTCTTTCTCTCCCTCTCTCTCTCTTTCTCTCTCTTTCTGTCCCTCTCTCTCTCTTTCTCTCTAACACATACTATATTATTCTGTCTTTCTCTCTTCCTTTCCCTTCATTTCTCTTTTCTCTTCTTCCCTTCTCTCCCTCTTTATTTTCTTCCCCCTCTTTACATTTTCTTCTCTCTCTATCTTTTCTCTTCTTTCCCTCTCTTAAATTCTCCTCTTCTCTTTATTTTTTATCCTTCTATCCATCTTTCACTATCCCTCCGTTTCTCTTTTACTTTTATGTTGTTGGTTCATATTATTTTTGATAAAGTTGTGATACAAAAATAGATCACAACTTTATTGAAGCAAAACTATTGTGGTTTTATATGATCTTTTCTTGTAATAAATGGAACTGTTTTCCGGTGAATTTGTTTACTTTGGCCACAGGCTTTAATTATCAGATTATGCCAATGGTCATTAAAGAAATAAAAACATAAAATTTTTAAATCTTTCATTAAGCAATAATCAAATTGATATTTAGAAATAAAAATAGCACTACAATAATTAACTTCTATTAGTGATTATTTTTTTTAAAAACAGAAAGAAATGACTCACCTCTACATAAGCATTCCTGAGATCGTCATGAAGATGTTGGGTCAAAAGCTTCAAGAATTGTACATTGCAGTTTGCTATGGCCTTTTCCTGCAGAAGAGATCACATCAGCAATACATTATCTACTTTGGTACTTTGATATTTGCCACTACTAGAATCCCTTCATAATTCATCAGAGAATATCTAAAAGGCAGCTACAGTATATATTCCAATTTCACAATGACTCCTCCAATATACACTCCAATATATTGAACAGCAGACATTATACTGACCTACTGTTTTCAGTTTTTATTTTGCTAAAGTTAGCCTATATATTTTATGCTCTATTTGTTTGTGTCTACTCAAGGGAGGCTAAACAACAACTAATATCCTATTGAACCACAAAAAGTACTATTACAGTCACGCTGAATCAAGGTCTATTTCTGATTATTTCTTTTGTTTTTTTTTTGTGTGTGTGTAATATACAAAACTACAATGTTAAGTTATGTTAAAATCCTATAGTAGAGACATGTATGTGGGCCCTGTCTTATAAAGAGTTTCAACTGATCCAAATCAATCACAAGTTCTCCAATCAATCGCAAGTTTGCAGTCCCCTATCCCTTTTGATCGATACCAATCACAAATAAGTTACGATAATCACAACTATTACTAAGATGGGGCCCACATCAGCAAGAGTGTTTTTATGAAGTACATTTGTGAAGCGAGCCACAAACATTATGGAACTGCCCTATATACCTTCATAGTGTGGTACAGTATGTCACTGAAACAGCTCCCGTAGGATTTTTGTGCCAAAGTTAATTTTTTTTGCTGTTTTGGCTTCAAAAGGGTCCCAATTGACCAAAAATGATGGGGTCCAAATTTTCAGACCCCTCCTTCATTTCCTGGGGGGTCCTAGACCGGGAGCCAGTGGGGGTTAACCTAGCTGGGAGAGAAACCAATTTTAATGTGCACAGATGTAAAGATTGCATAGCTCCACATAAAAAATTGACCATCTGGCATGTTCTAAGTGGTGGGTGTGGCGCCCCCACCAAAAAAGTGTCCCTTTTGAAGACAAAATAGTATTATGTAAATAATATTTTAAGGAAACCTTGAACCTTAAACACAAAGATTAAAGGTCATAAGAAAGACTTCTACTAAAAAGTTTGTGAAAAGGTACTATCCAATGCATATAACTTTTTTTTTAATAAGGAAAAACTTGTCTAGATTACATACCAATACAATAAACCAAAGTGTAAACCAAATATAGTGTATTCCAATATCAATCATTCCAAATGCTTCCCATGTGACAGGCAGAATTCACATCCCAAATTGTGAGTGTCAAACTTGCAATTCAAACACACGATAACAACAAAGCAGCTGCATATCCTATGTATGTATCCCACTTTGTATACTGTCAAAATGAATCCTTATATGGGTAGTGAATGCATGCCCCACCAATTAATAGGAAAGGAAGTAGGGGGTCATATCAGGATTAAGTAATTAATATTTCAGAGTAAATTATTTTCTCTCTGTTTGTCTATACTTTGAGTAATACACTCTCTAAGAAAGTTGGGTGTATATAGTCAGAGGATCAGCGAGGGTTTGGAAGCTTATATTGCAGAGCTCTGTTCACATAACCATCAATACAGCATTATATGCCATTCTTAGTAGATTGATACAAGCTACATTTTCTACAAGTGTGAACATACTCTACTTCACTATTGAGCTGTGGGGGTGTTCACATTACCATTACAACATAGACATAATACTGTTTCTTGCAAATTGAAACTTGTTACATTAACTCTAATGTAGACGAGCCCTATAGTCCTTCACAAAAAGGGGCTACGCATTGCATCGAATATATTTTGTAGAGAATATATATCCTGACAGTGATGATGATCGTGTTCCAACTGTACTTTTAGCTGTGGCTAAGCAGCCCATAACCACAGGAGGGGATACAGGGGTAATGGTACACCAAAGTTGAGGGGACGTGATTACTATCATTCTGTGATAACACCTATAAATAGCATTCACGTGAAAGTAGATTAAAGTATGGGTATAGGCTATTTTTATTCTGGTGAAGAATAGATTTAAATTAGAAATAAGCAAAAGTAAACAAACAAAAATGGGATACACGAAGTAGATTTTCATTCAAAGTGATAACTCTATCAATCTTAATATCTTAGAGGGTTTGTATAACATTATGCTCAAAGGAAATATTTTTCAAATTCCTAACTTCAACCCTGTAACTCCGGAACTTACAAAACATCTTAACAATCCCAAACATTGACCCTAAAACTAACTTGAAGTATTACTAAGGCTCTTAATTAGCTTTAACAAGAAAAACAGCTAATGTTGATGGAGCAATTGTTTCATCCGTGATTCAACATATTTTTTCCAGAGCATTTGCAACAGGCTACATTTCAACAAAAGTCTAGAGTCAGAGATAGGACTGTATCAAGGTTTCAGGTTATGTTTAGGATTAGGTTTAGAGTTAGTGATAGTTTTAGAGTCTAAGGAATTAGACCATGTTGCTATCACCTCTTCACCCATATATTCAATAGATCCTGATTATTAAAAGGAACAAATGTTCTTACATCTTTCAGCTCACTGCAGATATCTTGTCTCCAGTCCTTCATAGTCTTTTTGATGTCGTGTCTTTCATTTGTCATCTTGTCTATAGCAATATCCAGGTCTGAAAGAACTTGAATCTGGTATTTTTTTAAAAAAGCAAGAAATAAACATTGAAGGTACTTCAGAGCAATTTAATTATAGTGAAACCTGTTTTAACCTGAATAAAAAAAGAACTTCCTGAATATAGAGACTAAATTTTTCAAACATTTTTTCGTTGAACAATGTAATGTTGGAACCTGTACATATAAACATACCTTCTATATATAGACCACTTATCCATTACAAAAATCTCATTTCTGAGTAGTGTTTCTTGATATTCATCTATGAAAGGAACTCATAAAATAAAGACCACCTGGCTATGACTATTTATCTTGTTTCCTTGAACAATCTCTATACCGGTACAGTTTGCATAATTTCAATATAAACCGCATGTTATATGGCCGCATGTTATATGGCAGCTCACCTATACAGGTTTTTTTTAAAAGGTATCAAACTGTTTTTAAAAAGGTTCTATTTCTTTCATGAAAGTTGTAAATGAACCTTGAAGCCCCCTTTTCACACAAACTAAAAATAGTATTAATCTAAACTTATCATATTTTGACATTGATTTGGCACCAGATCAGTCATCATATGTCCCTGGGTTTTTAGAGGGATTAAACCAGGTAAGAATAATGCAGTTTTACTTAAAATAATGCAAGCATTAGGTCATGGCAATTCGTCCCCTCTTTAAACTTCACTTTGTAATAAATACTTACAATGAAGCTTAAAGGCAGTATTCCTCAATGATATTTCACCCAACTATCACAAATGTAAATCACTAAACTCTTGTTTGGAGCCTGAAAGATATTAAATCATGCAATTTTACATGCAGTATAGCATCCTTCTGGCTCCAATAGACAAAAGTTTCTTCAGATGTATAATACAGGATGTTGCTAAAGTATGACAGCTTGTCAAGAGAAACAATTGACCAACTATTATCACATTTTTAAAGCTAAATCTTTTTAATTTCTACTATATGATTTAAACACTAATTATGATAATGTATAGAATAAAACTGATCTCTAATTAAGGCATATAGACAATGAAGTGTGCAACCCTTTATTAGTCAACAATACAAAATATCCTTTGTTTGGGCAGCAAGGGCATTTACTCTGCCAATATGATTCTACACGTGACTTGTCCCGTAGCTTCATATAGATATGATTCACACACAGACTTGATCAAACCAGCTGGTGATAATTAAAGTTAATTAACACTGTATAGCAGTCTTGACCTGTCTTCATATCTGTCATTGATATGTACATCAATGACTAGGATAGGATGACCAGAGGCTACTGACAATACATATATTCCACCTGTAGCATAATTATAATAATATTATGAAAAGCCAAGTCTGTATTCTCTGTAGTCGTTCATCTAAATCGATGTCAACACACTTTAGTACATTCAGTATGTACATCAACTTGCACTAACACATCCTTGATCACTTCCCGGATACAAGTTTGACAAAAGAAAGTTATTCCAGCTAAATCTTTTTGTGGTAAAAAAAATATATACCGGTACATGTTTTTACTGAGGTTTATATAATCAGTGCCAAGAAGGATATGAAGCTTTATTAGCAAAACACAAATATTACTTAGATCACTTTACATTAAATCACAAGCTAATACATTTTCATACTTGCTTTGTGTATGGTATTAGACTGGTTCGTGACTATATATAATGGTTTTGTATAACAGAAATGAAAGATAGCGTCTGAGTATAAAACCAAGACTGAAATAAACAGAAACCTGGGGGTGTTTCACAAAGACTAAGATTGACTCTAAGTTGGACTTAACTATATGACAGGCCGTTCATGCCACTGTTTGTTCTCACCATTATAATCTTTAGATATCATATTTTTCTTCAATAATGAATTATCAAAAAATGTAAATTCTGTAGATTTGTGACCATGATTTGTACGTCCTTTGAGAGACCAATGCCAGTTAATGGTGAGAGCAAACAGTGGCATAAAGGGACTGTCATAGTTAAGTCCAACTTAAAGTCGATCTTAGTCTTTATGCAACACCCCCAGATATCTTCCACTAATCTTCTAACAAGCTCAGAAGGCGTTTCTTACCTGGTCCACCAAGGCTGAACTGACATGTTTCCTATCACTGGCATGAAGTCTGATGATAGGTAGTATGTAGACATGAAGCAGAAGCAGCACATTCTGATGCTCGTTATCGTTGCTTCCGTTGAGGATACTCCTGGCTATCTCTAGACCTTTCTCAAGGTCTCTCCCGGCAGTCATGTTGTCCTTCTGTTGTTCCAAATACCCTGTAAATTGAAAAACAGAACTGTCTCTTAATTCTCTTTTATTTTGGATAAAGACAGCAAGAAGCATGAGGATTCAAGGAACTTCCAGCACAACACCAATCTTCAGAGTCTCTTGAAAACTGTCCATCTGTCTGGCAAGAGTGTTGACCCTTGCAAACACCCTGCAATGGGAAATAACAGAACAAGGTATTTTCTATGTGATTAAGATACAGAGAAGATCGAGCTAGAAGCCTCCAAAATCCAAATCAAAACCATCTCCACTCTCCAGAATCTCTTCAAATGCTCTCCAGTTATCAAAAAATCAAGTAGCCACATTGACCTTCTGTTGGTGCAAATACCCTGAGAATAAAAACAATCTTGATGCATCTACTACACATATAGTGCTCATTACCCTCAATGAATGAAGCCATTTCACCAAGTCTGTATGAGCTATTAGGTAAGCCTTGGTCTATAATTTATAAACATCAATTAAAAACATACATATCATACCCCATGTTATCTCCAATCCTTCATCAAGAACCCGGTCCAAAATCAACTTGTCCATAGGAATCTCTATTGAAGCAACATGGTCCTAGCCTACCTGCACAAAGTTAATCATGCATTTTATCTACATTAGCTTTATGGGTATAGAGAAGAGGGTATAGCGAGAGGTCTATAAAGTCGACCTGTACAGGTGTACTATCAGCCTCCAGATCTATAGGAAAGTCAGCCAGACAGGAAGCATGTGACACTGAGCAATATTGTGACAAATGATACGATGCAAAGCACAGAAAATGGAACAATCCCATGTCCATTTTGTCAATGCTTATTTGGACAGGTTTCTCACTCTATACTCTAGGGTCTATGAACCATTGTATACCCCCCCCCCCCCCCCAGATTTTATTTCTCAATCTCTCCTTTTATACTGCTCCAAAGAAAAGTAGAGCACAAATCGAGTTGAGCATAAATAGCGGATGCCAGTTATAACTGTCAGACCCCAACAAAGAATTGGATACTAAAAGGTTGCCAAATAGATGATGCAAATAGTGTTAATTTAATTGCTCTGATAAGCATCATTTAATGATTAAGGTCAGCCTTAAAAAATCAGAAAGTAAACCCTTAATTATTTGGAGTGTTGGTGGTCACTTTGATCAATTACCCTACTAATTTCTGTCACATCACACATTTGTCAATATTGGTTTGTGTCCAACCACCAAAGTACCAAAGCAATGACTTCTACTAAGAAACCACTCCCACTATACTAATCAAATTCTTTGAGACCGCAGTGATAGATTCTACACTAGCGATTAAGTTCATGTTTCTTGCATCATTCTAAGCATGCTTGCTAACACCAGCTTTACTCACATTCTACAATTTATAGTTACAGTATCTATATTTCCCCTGAAAGATAAATGCAAAAAAATTGTGATTCCTATTGATCTACAACAAGTTGAAATATGCCAAACCAAAGAATAGCTATTTACATTGACATAGCTGAGATTTAAATTACTTAGTATAGACATGGATATGCTAATGGCAGTGTTAGACAGTAGTATATCCATAGAATAAACGCTGACCTGGAATAAAAAGGTTTAAATACATAATTCTTGATCAAATTTCCTGAATTTTGTCTTCATTCTACAATAATTTATCTTTAAACAGTCCCCAGGAAAATTAATACTTTCACTGAGATATCAACAGGAGCACTCTGATCGAATTGAATGTCTTCTAAAACAAGTTTATATTCTGGAACTTCCTTTTCTTGAACTTAATTAGCTATAGGGAGAAGTGAGAACCCAGCTTACTGTACATCCACCATCTTACAGCACCTGCTATGGGCGGTAGGTAATTAGTTTTAATCAAAGAAAAAACCTACCATCGTCAATCATCATGATGAGATTAAAGACTTAATTGGCAAATGAAATAGAGGATCTGGTGGTTTGTTCCTATGTAATGAGCCAGACTAAGGCTACACAGTATGTAAGGTGTCAAAGGGATTTGCTCCAATTGTTTTTTTTTCAGTGATTAAGACAAAGAGCTTTAATATTTACTAATATATTGTACTTGTTTTCCACAATGTGCATATTGTTTTCAAAGGGTTTTGAATAAACACCTTTCTCACAATATTTCTTTTTTTTTCCCCTCCAGGAGTAGCTTGTAAGAGAGATTGTGTCCTCATTCGCCATTTTTAAATTTATTTTTCCAGACCACATTAATATGAGTAGCAAATAAACCCAAAGTCTATCAAATGGCATGAAAAACAAACATCTCTTTTACAGAACAAACTATATACATAAGTACTGCCATTTTGGTTGTTTCATTTCATATATGCTTTCACAAAATTCAAGAAGATTACTTTTGCTTTTAACTCAAGGACTGTTAATCTGCATCACTTTTTAAGCATAGGGGAGGTTTATAGCCTATTCCAAGCACTTTCATTGTGAGATTTGAGATGGTAACGTGTACCTTCAAATCCTTAAAATATATTTACATGTTTAGAGCCAGAATGATGTTGTTGTTTTTGTTTTGTTTTCCAAAGAATTTTTTTATTCAGAATGATGTTAACTCTGTACAACAGTATATGCAAATGTCTTTGCGGCTCTCAATAAATGATATGGAATTTTATTTTAACTGTTCTGTATAAACGTTTTGCTTTTTGATGTAAATACGGTATGTTCATATTTATTCAGGGCCCCATGGAAGACCACTACTTATTGGTGAATGGGCTACCCTGACAAAAGATTAGAAATAAATGAATAAATAAATAAATAAATATGATACTTACATTCATGAGAATGTTTACATGGGTGATAAGGTGTATGACTCTGTCTCCTCTCTTTACACTCTGTGATGTTACAATTGGTCCATTGGATGCATTTTGTCTCAAGATTTAAGCACACTGTATCGATCAACAAGGCCTAGAAAAATATAATAAAAGTTACACAAAATAATGAATACAAATCAAACATAGACAAAATTACTAAATATAAATCAAACAGAAAAAACTACTTATTTTAAAAGTTGCAAATAAAACTGTGATATTTTGCATTATGATTTCAGATTCAAAATGTATTTATCATACAATTATTCTTCATGTTTGTAGTAGTAATCAATAAGCATCATTTATGCAATTACACCCCCCCCCCCCTTGCCAACAACAACAACAAATAAATATATAATAAATAAAAAAATAATGAATACAAATAAATCAGAGGAAATTAGTGCATACAAACTAAACTGAAGAAATGTAATAATGAGAAGAAAATACTGAATAGTGAATACAAGTAACACAACATTATTAGATAATTTATTACTAATCACACAGACAAAAACTAGTAAATTAAAGTCCTATAATATCAACACGAGTCATACAGAAACAATTTTAATTTCTCTAACAGAATTCAATTGAAAGAAATACAATCATATCTCATTAATTGCAGCAGGTTGGCACGTTTCAACACTAAAACATATTGGCACATTATTTACTCTCTGCATTATAGCATGTTAGAAGTTTGGAACATTCTCATTTTGGCCGTAAAGGCAAGTTTATGGGTTTGACATTTTATAAATGGCTTTTCAGCCTATGGCACAGACAAATGTTGATTCATAATTATCCAGTGTAATGAGTTTCATATTTCAGTTCTTGTATTCCAGTAATAATGCAGCAAAGTGTATGGGAAATACTCTAAGAAACCTAAACATATGTAGTGACTGAGCAATACCTCGGAAATACAAACTTTTTATTCACCGTAATACAAGGTCAATGTAGCTGTATCAAGTTCTCATGATTAATCAGGCTTACTGAAAGAAATATGATTCCCATTACAAAGTACGTGCTGATGAACCTAATCAAGACACGTTCAGTAAGTAATAACTGTGATTGGCCTCCTACGGTGAAATAATTAGCTCCAATTCTCAATCACTTACCAATTGTAAAGTCATATTTCCTGTGAAGACCATACTCTAACATAAATCACATGAATACAGTTAGCACATCCCTCTTAGACAGAACCTTATAAATGCTCAACACAGCATGCCAGTGTGTCAACTGTACATCTGCATGGGTTACTTCGAGAAGATGTGAAGTTCAAGTAAATTAAGGAAAGGGGTGCAATGGATATTTTTAGGCAACTTGTTAAAGGTAAAGACCAGTTATGGTCATGCGATTGCATTGTGAAAGAAACGTTGTGAAATCGATCAGAAAAGGTTGATCATCTAGCATATAAGTATTGGTGTGTACTGCAAGGTTCTGAAATCATCAAAATGATTATATATGGCCCAGTCTTCGTAAAGTTACAAGCACTGTACACAGAAAGATGTATATGGGACTATACACACACGTGTGCGACACGTGCGTTTATCTCTCACAGACCATGTAGATAAACTAATTTACCAAATATATCAATTAGTAGGCGGTTTCCCGGCAAAAATTTTATCAGCAGATATTAGTCAAAACATATTCTTTCACATGATTGGTAATAAGAGCTTCCATTTCATTTTTTGAAATTGGGGCGTTTCCAATACTGGTCTTTACCTTTAAGCTTTATATGACATTTTACTAAATAAAAGTTTGTTTTTTGTACATCATACCTTTAAATACAAGAAATGTCTCAATGATGGTCAAGCAGTATACAAAGGCTGAAAGATTGTCAATAATTTGGGTCAAGATTATGCATCTTTTTATGGTATTACATTACAGATCTTTAATAAGGTAACCAATTGCCATGTAATGTCTTATGACTTAGAAAGTAATAATTTTAAAGGAATACCAACAATAATATAAAGTTAGGTCTCTAATTTATTATTTAAGTATGTAAGATCTACATATACGTAGTACATCCCAACAATTATTGAAAGGTATCATTTGATTTCTTTAACCTCTTACAAAGCAGTGCCAGAAATAACTCTGATCAAGTCTAAGCAAGTAAAACTTTAACAGTAATTGAAATGAAAATACCCAAATGCTTTGTACAATTCTGTTCTGAAACACAAGATGCATTTCAAACTTCTTCTTACTCTACTGGGACAGGAAGGGAGGGGGTAAAGAAGAGAGGGGCGGTTGAGCGTGAAGTACCAGGTCACCCGGCAATGACTGAATACTAATTGGGTTCATCATACCTCTACGGTGCTATCTAGGGATTAAATTTCCTGTGCGAACTACCCTGGCTAATTTACTCAATACTGACTACAATGTGCTTCACACATTGTGCTCAAGATATCAAATCTAATTGTTTCACTGCTGAATGGTGCCATGTCTACTCCTTACTAGTCTAGAGATGAGACCTTTGGCTATGATGAATTAACACAAATAAAGAAAGTTTAGTGCAAGCTATACTAGCAGGGAAAAAAGTATTTAAAAGATTTTTTGGGCTACTTTTCAAACTTGCTTGCATAAAAATAACACTCTTTATTTTGTTTTGCATTGAACTTCATGCAAATATTTGGGGGCTCTTTTATGACTTTTAGGGGTTCTTTTGGCATTTCGGGGGCTACTTCGATTCGAGCCCCCATGTATTGAGTGACAGGAAGTCAGGAATAGAGACTATCAATAGCTTCCAAGGGCATTTTATGAAGTATGCAGGATTGACAAGTATTGTGTGAAATATGACAGACAGGCATAGATATATATTCCGGGACTATAATACAACCAAAATAGCTTAGTTCTTGCATGCGTGGCACTGGCAAGGATTTGTTCCTATACACATTAGGATACAAGTTATCATATTAAAGTATAGGCACATAATCGATAGATGAGATCAAGCCAATGTGCACCTAAATGGCTATGTAAAATGGATATGAGCAGTATACAAGAAGCCAATATGATCATTACCTTGGGAATTTAATTTTTACAACTCATTTTAATATTAAAATAAAACAATATCCAATCACAGCCTCAGACACAGGGTATAACAACTCTAGAAGCAGAATAATCCTCTGTTCTATGACAGACATATTCATGGGGCATGTAGGGTGGAAACGAGGTAGAGGAGAGGATCTCAAACAGCTGGCAACTGTCATCAACCCCTGACAATTGTTTTCTGTCATGCCATCCCTTTCATACAGGTACTTTCTGTATGAACATGTACATGTACATTGTTGGTAGTAAAATAATTGAAGAGGATTAATTGCTTCATTTATCTTCATTTCCGGAAACAATGGTCCCTCATGTTTTGTTATGATTGACAGAGATATACTTGATGTAAGTAGCTCTTTACCTTTAGACTAACATTCATTTCCTAAATGATAAACAAAACTAATCTTTAGTGGTCAAATTTTGCATAAATTGTGTTGTAAGATATAGGGATTAATACTTTCTAGGTATAAAAAGCAGACTTATACCTTAAAAATGTCCATTGTTTCATTTAAGAAATTCTATACATTTTCAAATGTTCAGTATATCCATAGATCCCTTTGTGACATTTTTCAATTCAAGGAATTGTCCACTTACATCTTACAATTCCATATGAAACTGAATGTATACAAGGCTCAATGAGCGAAAAGAGAATCATTTAATTAGTTTTGATCAGTAACAATAATATAGTTGAAGACTTCTTCAAGATTGTTTTCTAAGTACAACATAACTCTCTATTAAACTTACTGATCATGAAGATGAAAATTTGAGGGCCTGCTGACACTCCTTGTAAGGTATACCACTCCTGCACATGGTCAGATATCCAATGTATCCAAAACAAATCGACGTAAACAACAACACGATGGTAGCACGAGGAGGATCTGAAGATTTAATCACATACAGCCTCAGAGAAGGTTGGGCAATATTCCTTCAAAGGCATGTATTTCTCGTCTTCAAACCCGAGTATTGAAATGATGAGACATAAACAGTGAAATCCAGATTGTTGTTATTCCACAACATGTACAGTTGTCCGATGAACTTTTAAGAAGTTAAGAATAGAAAGATGTGAGTTTATTGTTGGACCGATCCCCGTCTGTGTGCACAGTACGTATCACTTCCCGTTTGGGACTGTGATAACGGCTAGGTAGAGAGTGAGGGAACCTCTTTAACTTCAGACGTAGCCAGCTACTGTGCAGCTACTGGAAGGGATAATGACAAAGGATCAGCGATTAACAGGACTCGCTGCTGTTGAACCATTGCCGCGGAGGGAGAGACCCGGTCTGACAAGCTATTCTAGGAGCCATGTCCATGACAACGCAACGTAATTGATGTTTCCAACTTGCGTTAGGACCCCCTAGTCTTTGTGAGTCATCACAGGTCTTGGAGCTGAGGCTCGTTGCCAAGGGGAAATCGTCATTACTCGCATCTTCCTAGCAACCACGCAGGCAGGCTGACAGGTTGCACTGAATTAGTCTCTATCAAGGTAATCAAAGTGTAGAATCTTATCCTTAACCAAGGACATGTTCAAGACAAGTACTATATTTTTTATTCTAAATATTCAACTTCAGGATAGAAATTGATTGAGGTGACAGGATTCAAATTATTGAACTCAAAGCAAAACAAATCTTGTCGATAGTCCTTTTGTTCTTGAACAATAATAGGATTTATTGCAAGAAAATTTGTGTCACTATTAACAATCCGCTGATTATGCATAAATTGCAACTCTACTCCAAAGGTATGATTTAAATTAATGTATGGACATTGCAGTCTTGTAATTGTTTACAAATGTTCCATGGGGAATTTGCAATTACCTCATGATTGTGATTTGGGAATCTCTATAAATGTTTCAAATTATGTTACACATGATAAAACTATTTATAACATCATTTTGAGCACCTTTGTTCTATCGTTAATCAATTCCCTACTACCGGTAGTCACATCCCGTCTCCTAGGCTACAATGGAGAGCCGTTGGGGAATAGCTCACCTGAGTGGAAGGGGTTACCTACACCACACTCGATCTACCTGATGAGGACAAAAGAGTTTATGAACTAAGCCTATAACGACCT